ATACAGAAATTATTTTTTCTTTTAATACAGGCGTTATGAATAATCAATAGTGGTCTCCCTTTTGTTTTGTTATTATCCTCTTTTAGAGAGCTATTTCTGTTTAATGGGACTATAAAAGGACATATGTGAACCTTGTATCCACAGTTGAATAAAGTTTTCTTAAAGCCTCCACCTGCATACTTTTGTCATTACAACAGCTTAATAGCTTAAAAAGTTAACATCTTTTAAATAAACCAGAATTTAATTTCAAGAAAACATTTAAATTATTCAAAATGTGTTTTTTCGGGTTGTTCATAGCGATACCTAAAAGAAAAATGAAGATAATTACAGTTTGTGGCCCAAATAAACTAACTTGGATCCTCTTCACATTAATACAAGGTTTTGTCAATTTAAGAGACTGATAACTTCAGAAATTTAAGTCAACTGAATAAAAAAAAAATTATGTTGAAAATAATTTTTTTTTTTTTTAAGAGTCAAGAAACCATTAAGCAAAAACCTCCAAATGAAAGAAATTCTAATTTTGTCATATTTTTATTTTACTTTATTTTAAACGTTTGTATATAAATTCAAGGACTAGTTCGAAATTATACATGCACTGTAAATAGAACACCATTTTAGAGTCACTTTGTTAGTTTCCATTTAAAATTATTTAAAATATGAGAGATTTCCTCTCAAAATTAAAGTTATTTTGCATAAATAAATAGCAGAGCAAACTACAGTGTAGGTGAGTTATAACTCTGGTTAAATAATTATAAACCTACAAAAATACTTGTAAAAATGAGAAACAGCAAGATGTAGAAAAAGATGAGTATTATTCATTATCTGGTTGTTATGTGTTGTTGTAGACATGAGAGTAATACTGAGTAAAATTGTGAGTTTGGGGTCAAATATAGATCAGAACTAGCAGCATGGCCCAGCGTTGCCCGTGCTTGATTCAAAAATCATACGACTCATACAGCAATTGCTATCACTTGACTTAAAATATTTTTGCCCTTCCTTGCCTTTAAAAGAGTGCCCTTGGCCGTGCTGATGTTGCTACATGCCTTACTTCTTGCCTATCTCACACTGCAAATTTTTTCTAAGCTCTATACTAAACATTAAATCTGTTACAAAAAAAGAACTAAACAAAATGAACACAAAACGATCAGCTTTAAAAAAGGACTCGTAACTGGAAAAACTGAATGAAAAAAGAATGTTAACAACAAATACTTTTTCACATCCAACCCAGTTCTGTTGAATCAGAATCAACAGTGAGTTTAAGCAAGCGAATGAGCCAATTGGAGTAAAGTGCCCTGCAGATTTAAATTTTTTCCACTTGTGACGAATGCAGCTATCGATTTTTTTTGCATGCTAGTTAACATTCGTGTCAGTCAGCTGTTGGCTCTCACGCTGGCCAATAGAATCTTCCTGCCTATTCGTGGCAGCCAGCTATAGGCTCTCACTCTGGCCAGTAGAAAATGGCCGCAAATTACATGAAAACTGCCGTAGAAGCATGAAAAAAATCCATTACTTCCATTATCGATGGGAACTGGGAAATGCAAAGTCGGTCTTGGCCTTCCCGCTAACTTGGAGCATGTGCATGTAAATTTTGGTGCAAATCCGTCGAAAATTGCGGCCGTGCATTCGTTAGACACGCACACACATCCTGCCTTTTATAGATAGAGATCTGACAGAATGATAAAATAAACAAGTAAAGTGCATACAGTTTTTCTCTTTTTTTTTTGTTATCTTTTATAGATGTTTGTATTAAAAAGTGTCTGGGGTTTTTGCATCTCAAATTTTCCTTGCGTGCTAAGAAATGAATGTTACTATTATGGCCTTAAAAAGGAAAATGAGCCAAAATTTTCGTTGACACATGTGTTGACAGCCTGTTCGTGTTGGCTGCTTGCCTGATGGTTAGTATGTCAAGTGTGAATTAATGATAATTACAATTGTAATAATTATTTTAGACACTTTAATTTTTATTTTTTATGGACACAGTGACAGTATAATTAATTTTTTATTTGTGTATTTCTTTATGGACATGACAACAGGAAGAAAATAGAAAATTACAGGTGGTCGTAAACTAAACTTCCATTCAGTGTCAACATCTTACTTAACTTAAAGCAAAAAAGAGCTTCCTCTGTGAAAGGTAACATTAATTTTAATAATCACCTTCATTAATTATTCACATCACTGTAACTTGGAAAATTCTTTTTTTGTACCATTCAAAATAAAAACAACAACAAAGAATAAGATTTGAGATTTTTATCCTGTTTTGGTTTAAAACAGGAACAGCGATTTAAAGATAATTCGAGGAGAAATCCATAATTATAAGATATACCGCAGCATCAAACAGATTTCTAAGTTAGAAATCTGTTTGAAATTCTAACTAAGAACAAATTGTCCGATATTTTAATTCTTCGGAAATTACTCGTGTTGAATACTTAGTGTACGAATGAACGATGAGCCTATTTTGTCGATTATAATTCAAATTCATAAATATACCCGGAACATAACCTAGAAATCATGAAGCCTAATCTTAGCCGTTTAAGGACAGCGATTTCTAAGCACTTGGGCTACAAATCTCGAATAATATGTAACGGAATTTAAGGTGGCCTTCAAAAATGGAGGCGGGATCCACTTCTTCCGGTCCGGGGTCTAAGCTAATTCGGTACTACTTAACTTAATAAACAAATCCACTCAAAAAAATAAAATAAAATAAAATAAATAATAATAATAGGGAAAAATCTTTTAAAATATATTTTTTATGATTAGCTTTATTAGGCCGCATTTTCAAACTTGACATTTTGTAAATAACAGCTGACTTAGGGAAGGCCAATAACTCTTCAAAGTTAGGGATCGATTCGATCGACACTGTATCGATAAACTAAACAGGACTCCCTATCTAAATCGATAACAAATCAATTTTTTGCGGCCTAAGGAAGGTATAAAGAATGCTAAACTAAAAAACAAAATATTTCCTAAAAAATATTCCATATTTTTTAAATTTTTATTGGGACAAGTGAAGTTTAAATAGTGCTGCTCTCTAAATTGAAAGCCAAACCGAACTTTATACAAAATGAATTTTAATAATTTTTGAAGAAAAAAAAAAGTTAAGTGTATTTCGAAATTAAATTATTTTTTTTATTTGTTAGCATTATATAGATAATTTAGATTTTTTTTTTTTTATCGCGCGCTTGATCACGAAGAAAAGCATTTTTTTCTAATTGCACTTCTTTCACTTTTGGAACAATTGATTTGTAAAATAAAAATATGTACACTTTATTAATAAAGTAAAAGTTGGTTTTAAATGGAAAATTGCAATAAAATAACTTCTCTAGTGTGACAGGTATTAAACAGGACATTTAAACTATTTAGAAGTTTGAATTTAACATTGGTGGTCGGCAATTTAATTCATAGAGTAGAAAATTCGATCAGGGACATAAAAAGACTTTGAATAAAAGCTCAAATAAATAAATATAAACAAAATAAATTCTGCTTTAACGTTTTTAACTTAAGGTTTCGTTTTTACGGCTTTTATTTACCATTTGTGCCTATAAAAATGAATTTTCAATTTATTTTTAAAATAAGAAAAATATAGAAGTTTGAAGCTTTTTGAAATATTTTTTCGCCGAAATGAAAAAAAAACAACAAAACTTGTACATACACACAACACAGTCGGCGCTGGAAGGTTTTCGGCCCAAATAATAGTTACTTTTTTTTTCTTTTTCAGATAACTTTAACTGCTTAATATTTTTGTCATTATAATCTATAAAACCTCATTAGTCTTGTTAAAATTCATTTGATGTGAGTTTATTTCCGAAGATAAAGAAAAATGTCGATAAAAAAAATAAATAAGAAAGAGTAAGAAGACGCACAAAAAAATCAAGTTAAAAAGTGTCATTTAGCAAAATTATATCAATTACTTTTAAAAAAGTGATGCATATCAATTACTTTTAAAAACTGATGCATATGTTTTAACGGTATGAGGCCAATTTACGAGAGCACCCAGGATCGAACTTGCGATACAGTAGTAGTAATTGTTGCTAGACTAGCTCGCTAACCATGACATTACACAGCGAAGCGTTTTGATAAATGTTTATAAAAGTAGTAGTAGTAGTAAAAAGAAATTTTTCTTTTGCATTAGTCGATCAAGTATTAAAAACATAATTTTATTGTCCTTTCTGGTTTATTTAAATTTCATTGTTGTAAATAAAACAAAACACGAAAATATTCCAAATCAACAGCAAAAAATTTTAATGTCTGAAACCCAAACGAAAGTAATTAATTCTAGCATTTCGTTTTCTTAAGTTAAAAAAAAGAAGAGTAAGACTGATTCGATCAAAATAAATCCTTTTTCAATATTTCTTTATGGAGTTTTGGATTGGTTATTAATGGAATTCCCATAAAGAAAAAAAGCTATCACTCACACTGCATGATAACGAAAAACCGAAATTAGGGTTATTTATTAAAATAAACACAAAAAAACAACATTTAAAATTTAAATGCCAAAAAAAATTAAAAAAATCAGATGGTGGGAAACTAAATAAAAATTCTTAAAAATAAAATTATCTAATTTTTAACTAATTTTCTTTATAATCAATAAATATTTTTATTCTAATTGACGTGCGCGTATGTTTTGTTGTAGCAAACAAATAATAAATTTTGATTTAATTACCTAATAAATTTTCATCGATCCCCCACTTTAGGACCATTCAATAAACAACACTCAATTTAATGGACATCATTACGCTGTTTCAATAAGTGAAGACGCCTATTCTTAAAATCAAAACATATACTTTTATTCCACTATAAATGCAAATGATCCGTCTTGAATTAATTGATATTAGCCAACATTTTAAAGCAACGAGGTCTTAAATGGCACTGGCCTAAACTTAAGAAAGATGATCGTTCATGATTGGATGTTTTGTAGGAGAGAAACAACGATGTGAAATGTATATTCAACAAGATATGAAATCATACACATATTTTTATATAATACTCTTATATTTTCTTACCTTGCGGCTAGCACCACCAAAAGACTGAACAGGTCCTCGACGAAATTCCCCTTCGAAGCTGTACATATTTATGCCGTAGAGGTCAGATTGAAATCTAGACTGAAGTGAAAATACTACAAGGAAAACATACTTTCCAGATACAGCCTAAAAATTCGGCTTGGAATTACAAAATGGCGAAACGCAACTTATAATGAAACGAAAATGCAATCTTGAAACCAAAATACGAAAACTATACTTCTTATTCATGTAAAAACATAAAAATATTTCATTTTTAATTTAAAAGTCTTAGTATTTATGAAATATATAAATCTGAAGGTACGCTAAAATGAGTTTAAATAGTTTTACTAACAAACAATATTGAAAAAATAAAAATCACACTCCACAACCTCTTAAAGAGTTCGGCAAGGGACATAATTTATACCAGCTGATTGTATAGTCGTCCATTAAGAATCGCAGCTTCGTTTGGCACAAAGCCATGTTAAAAGCACCGAGTGAGGATTGAACTCACTAATTAAGAAGTCAGCAACAAGCAGACTGTATAATCGTTATTTTTATTTACTTTTTTGTTTTAGAGGAGCTTAACATTTAAAAAATTTAATTGCTGTGTTTATAAAAGCTTGACAGAAACCATAAAATCACTTGGAAAACATTCTGAAAAAATTAACGTGAAAAAAAGGCTTTGATGGCTCTTTGGATCAAATTTGCAAAATCTTAGGCTTAGATGAGAAAATAATGTAATTTTGAAAATTAAAGGATTGTTACACAAACTTAACATTTTTTTCATTTCCAGTCTCTTCTTAGAAAAGGAAAAATAAAACTCCATTTAAATTTGATTCATAATGAAAAAAAATACGCATTTAATTTCTTTTAACTTAAAAATCTAAGTTAAAATATTTTTATAGTCAGGTATTTTGAAATTTGTTTAGTTTAACGAACCTGTTGTATTTGTCAATTTGGGATGATTCACTGTACTTTTGTAAAAAAAAAAAAAATAATAAAGAAAAATACAAAATCTGGTAATTTATTTATTTTATCAGCTTTCGTCGACTTATCTTGTGCCAAATTGCAATTTCGTTTGTTTTACAACTGGATGGTTTTCGATAACCATATTGTTTAACTATTTTCTTTTGACAGGTATGAGTCTTCTTCTACATATTCATCATTCTTGTTTGAGAGACTTTGTTGAAATCTTCGACAAATAAAATTAACTTTTACTTGTTCGTGATTAATGTAAATTATTACAAAAATGTAAATCCCAAACGATAATTCTCTCCTTTATTATCCTATCCAAATAAAATCTCCACAATTCCATATCTTCGTTTTCTCTTCTACATTGTAACACAAATTTCTTTAACCATAACAAATGATTAAATCACGTGATCTTTGGATGAACTTCCGGTTCTATGATAGACTGCTTCGTCGGCATCAATGATGGAAGAGGTTTTAGATATCGATGGATCTGTTTATGAGGGTGTAAGTTAAACATTATAAATTACCGTTAATATTCCACAAAATTATAGTAGCATGATGGTGTTGATCTTTCTCTATGTAGTAACATATATCTACGAACCGTTGTAGAACATTTAGAAGACAGGTTCTAGAATTGAAAGTACACTACAACTAAAAAAAGTCAGTTTATCTTCATTTGAAATTTGAATGTAAAACGTTTCTTTTAATCGGAAATTTACTCCTATCTTGCTTTATCGAAAATTAAATTGAAATCATTGGGCTTATCATAAAGAAAAACAAAAATCTCTGACTCCTAAAAAAATAATTATCTTGTGTAACGCATTTTTGTTAAAATTATTAAATTTTCTCTTAAAAAAAGTATTTTTCTGTCTCACTCAGCCAAACTGGTTGACGATGTAAAAACATTTTTTAAGGGGTTGTGGTGATATTTTACTTTCTTTAATTTATTTTTTATCTTGATTTCTATCCTAGTCGTTGAAATGCATTCAATTTCTATATCTATTTTTTGTTCCTTAAAGTACTGTCTCACCGATTGTCATGCATTCATTATGTTCACAATTTCTGTAAATGACATCCGATATTGAAATCCGATCTTCCTCACACTACTAATTCTTCCTTTTTTTCTTTCTATCTTCCATCATTTATTTCGTCTTCATGAATACGTATAAGAAATAAGGCATTATTTGTTTTACTTTGATAAAAATGAAGACAACGGAAAGTAAATTTTCCAGTGTTTTTTTTTTTCTTCTTTTAAATTTACCTTTGTAAGAATGCAATAGAAAAATCTTTGGCTTAGGTAGGAACATACAATTTTTTTAAAATTTTATTTATATGAACGAAGAACAATAACTTGCATTTATTCAAGATATTTAAATAGTCACTATTAGTGTTTCTTCTTTAAAAGGATTGATATTTGAAATAGAATAAATGATAATTTTTAGAGTCCCTTTCTCTAGCATAATCATTTTACATTTAAAGTGGGTAAAACTTCTTTCGAGTCTTCAAAGGGAAAGGCCAATGTCCTCCAGATGAATCAATAATTTTAGGAGGGGTAAAAACTATTAATTTAATAATAATTATATAAAATTTATAAATAGAGAGTTTGTGTAACTTAAAAATAAAAAAAATGTTATTTTTCAATGCCACATCCATTGTTTTCCATCACAATGATTTTTTTAGCTAGTCTTTCTGATCTTTCTCAAATGATGTTGCATCCAGTAATTGAATTCTCAGGTGTTTTGAACATTCCACAGAGTATGTTGTTCATGTTTTTGTCAAGTCCAGTATACTCCTAGGTATGCAAACTAATAACTACTTTTTTAATCAGTAAGCCGAGTGTGGAAATAACCATGGATACCTATACTGAAAAAAATATTTAGATTTTAGACAAAAGCTTATGACATGATAGGCATTCCACCTGTGGAGGTGTTGCACTTGCCACAGTTTGTACTATGATGATGTGCTAACCAAGAAGGGGGTCCAAAACAGCATTGGTTGAAAAAATTCTTGAACCAGCCCACTTCCCAATATAGATTTAACCTAATGGTGAAGCATTGATTTTTTTTTTTTTTTTAAGTTTTCTTGGTTGATTCAAGAACTTTTCAGCACATGTATAAACAAGTAGAACCCTGTAGATAAATGTTTCTCAACCTTATTCTGGTTGTGGCGACCTTCAATCCAATGTAAGTTCTTTATGGCCCCTCGGGCCAACTTGAGTTCTTGAATGAGCAATGAAGGGATCCATAAACCAGTGCAGCACTATTATTTGGAGTAGAAGTGAGTTTTCATGTCATTATGCAACTGCTTCAAATGATCAACATACACTGCTAGGTCATCATCAAGCAGCTTGGTGGATATATTTGCTAAGGAAGGAAACTGGGCAAACTCCCATCTCCCTGCAGGAAAATAAGGTGGGGTCATTTCCTTGGAGCTCTTTGTTCAGGACATTTAGCTTTTCAAAATTGAAAGACAAATTGATGAAAATATACCTTAATTTAAACTTTAAGTTATGAGTTTTAAATTTTAAGAAATTGAAAACTAAAAACAGCCATTTTGCATAGATCAGATGAAAAAATTACAATAAATAAACATTTATGTTAACAAAATGGCTTAGATTAATTTAATACTTAATAATAAATTTAATATTTTATTTTAAACAATAATTATTAATTGCAAAATACTCCATGTATATATATTTTGTGGGTCCTAAATTTTCTGTGGCTCCTGAAAATATCTCATGCCCACCCCCATGGAGCCATATGGCCACAATGAGACCTATCCATTAGCTAGATGGTACACTTGTGAGAACATACACTGTTAATCTGGAGTAGGAAAAAATTGACATTTTTCTCTCTTCTTAACCAAGTGGAATGCCCATGGATCAAATGTAAATTGCATTCTGGAATCTAGTGAACAAAAATGCTGGGTCCTGCTTAAAAATTTAGTTATATTCTATTCACTTAGGTTGTAAATAGAGGTTTTAGACTCCACTTCAGTGGAGGAAAGAGTGACAAAAAGCATGCGTTGCAAGTTAAAATCTTATTTAACAAATAAGAACAACATATTCTATTGTAATATAGATGATTCTAGACAAGTTGTCTTTCCCCGACCCCAACCGCAAACTGACCTCTGGTGCAGATAGGTGTACACACTCACTCTCCACTAGCCAAGGACTACTAGCTGACATTGTATAAGCCAAATAATAAATATCCTGTCTTCTTAAGTACATGCAGTCATTTTCTTTGTATCATAGTCACCACTACTCAGAGTCTGAGGCTTGATAACAAAGAAAGCAACATTACATGGGATCAGGAGTGGGATTAAGTAAAGGCTTCTGTTCAAAACTCCTTTAAGGTGTGGTATAACATACATCTGTGAATGGCTGGAAAGTATGCTGCCCACATACTGTGATATAAACAAGATACTACTTTGAAAAATCATTTAATAATGATATTTTGCCTAAGAAATTTAGACAAAAATCGAAATATATATCATGATTTTTAAGTTAATGATTAAATAAGCTCCTTGCAAGTTCCACAACTATAAAATACCTATGGAAATTTTCTTATTGCACCATTAAATATTTAAGCTTAACAACTTTAACAAAATATTGCAATGATATGTATGAATGCAGGTCATTATCTAAAGATGTAAACAGGGCACAAATGAAAAAATTAAAAATTGGCAAGGTTTTCCATTTCACTGAAGCAAACATTATGCTTATGGGAGTATTATTGCATCTTCTATGTTCCACTTCTTTTTTTTTTTTATTATGTATGGTTTCTTTATTTCTCTAAAACCAAACCACATCTCTGATATATCTTTTTGTTCCATCTTTCCTCACAATGAAAACAGAATGGTCCATTTTTTATCAGAGGTAATGGCAGGGCATAACTCATGTGCTAAGTAACTTACTAATTATATGATTTTCACTTTTCTACAAAGAAAAATAGTATCTGTGAGAATTGTTACCTGTCTAAGTAATTCACATGAATTTGACTAAAAAGAAAAGAAGTGAATTGTTAAAAATGGTTGTGTTGTGTTCATAAGAATTCCCTTGTGAAAAAGAAGCTATTTTTGATATAACATTTTTGCTATATATGGCAAATTATTCTGTGCTGCATACCTTCAGAACATAGGTGATCATGGCTCTCCACAACTTTCTATCTCTTGTGGTTCTTAACAGTTTTTCTCCTTTGGCTAATGCCACCCCTCCCTGTTCCACCATGGCTAGAGAGCAATAAATTATTTGAGATTAGATTAGAGAAGATCGATCTGGAATTAAAAAAAAAAAATCAGTTTCTTGTTATGAAGTGTATAGACCACTATTAACTATTATAGAATTCAATCAATTGTGGCATTTTTTTTCTTTAATCATTTTACCCCCAAGTAAAGCAATAAAGCCACTAAGATACAAAAGGTTCCTGAGTGTGAAAGAATAAGAAAAAGAAAATATTATTAAGGAGTGAGAACAATAAAAGATTGCATTTACATTTTTAAAGATCAAAGTTGGCTGGTAAGCAAAAGAGCTGGAAGAGAGTTCCACTGGTGAGAAGTCCTACAATCTTTTGCTTACTTAGAGTAAAGTATAGTTTAAGGCAGAATCCCACAAATGTTTACAAATTTGCACTAAAATACAACAGTTATTTTTATTATTTTTAATGTTTTTCATCACTGATATCTACTTCATTCTTTTAGGGTGGACAAATCCTTCGCAATGCTATTGCTTTCAGTTGTTTATTACAACGCCGTATTCGTGTTTGGAATATCCGTGCTGGCAGAAGTAATTCTGGTCTCAGGTAAACCAATTTTTACTGTTTTGCACAGAAATAAATATTACTCCTTTGTTGTTCAATGTATTTTCATTTGCACTGGATTTATTTATTTATTTACTTATTTATGTACACATCTATCATCATTTTGTAGTGAAGTATTTTGTGTGAATCTGTTATCTCTTATTGAAAGCAATAAGTAACTTAATGTAACATTCCAATTCTCATAAAGTTATCTTTCAAATAACTTATGCTCCATTTATGTTGATACATCAATACATTGGCAAACTTGGGCGTTCATGCCTGCAAATAAACAGAATGTCAAAAGGATGGTTTTTCCATTGACACCACTATTGTAACTAGGTTCTACTCTCAGGAATGTTTATTATTTTATAAAGTGATCATTCAAATTGTGATAAAACTTAAATATATGAAATTGAATTTATACATTTTGTTTTGGTTTTGAGAATTTACAACAAAAATATTAAACACTATTAGATTTTTTATTTACAAGAATAATTTTAGATTTACAACATTCTAAAAATTAATACAATTAAAACTAATGCAATACAATGTTTATCATTTACCAATTTATAAATAAATAAATATGAAAACATTTTCATAAATTCATAAACATTTACTAAATCATTAAAATATGTGAACCAACTATAGGGAAATCCTTATTATTTACCATTTTATAATGTTTGAATTGATTGACAATTAACCAATGTTTTGTCAAACATTCCAATAAACAATCTAATAAATAGTGTTTATCATTTTTGTTGTCAATTTTCAAGAACAAAGAAAATATATAAATTCACTTTCATATGTTAGGTTTTATTACAATTCTAGCAATCACTTTTTAAAATGATAAACATTGCTGAGGAGTGAACATAGTTAAAATAATAATGTTGTCAGTGGAAAAAACATCTTTTGGACACTTTTTTGGCAGGCATTCTAGTAGGAAAAGAGAGAAAGAAAACAGGAAGTGTCTTGTTTTTATAATTGTTTAACAGTGCCACCTAACAACTTCTTGGTGAAGCTGGTAAAGCCATGTAAGAGTAACCCACACTTGTTTATTGTGTACTCTTTTTAAGTTGCCAGCTATAGAGAAAATAAAAAAGAGAATCATTAAAAACAGGTGTTACTACTACAATTTTAACACATTCAATAACTTATAGATATAAGTAGAAAGAGTCAGAATTTATTCTCTGGCATTTAATGCATATGCTTTTGTAACATCCCAGGTATGTTTTTGTTGCTGCAAAAGATTACTGTCTAATTCTTTGACAATAATTGCTTAAAAATAATTATCCTATTTTTCATTACTCACAAAAAAAGAAGAAACATTTAGACCTGAAAATTAAGGTAAGATAATATCACTTAAGAAAACTAGTAATATAATCTAGACTAATACCCATTAGAATATTAGTTAAGAATGTATCTCAGTCTTGTTCTTAGATTTGTATTAAAGAAGATTTATTTGCTATTAGCCACATGAATGTAAAAATTGTTTATGCTATATTCTTTTATACTTAATTACATTTATGATTCATATGCACTGACGCTTATAGCCATACCATGTTGAAACACTTGTTCCTGTATGACCACCAAAGTTAAGCAAAGTCGAGCCTGGTCAGTACCTATATGGGTGACTGCTTGGGGATATAAGCTTGGATGTGTTGGTGGTGTAATAGATAATAGTTCAGAATTGTTAATTGGAGAGCTGAGTTTCAATTCCAGTTGGGTTCATTATATTCACTTATGCACAAATACCCTTGGGAAAGTTATGAATCCCTTCTATTTTTCCCACCAGTTATCTGTTAATTAGTAAAACTTGTATCACTAAATCATTATTATCTCCCCACCAAAAAACGATTCTTACAATATAAGAATATTTTCTGGCTTTAGATAACCTGCAATGGGTTGATAAGCCATAGAAAACAATCAATCATATGCACTGGAATGAAAAATAATAAAGCTCAATCTGCTTTATATCATAGGATATTCTTCTACACTTTATCTAGGTTATGGCAATATAATACCATTTGAAATTTGCTTCATGATATGAATTACTCTTCGTTTTTTTTTTTAAGAATAACATTTATTTTTTTAGACCTCAACATTTGACTGGAATCCAGTTAATAGAATGGATGTCACGGGGCAGATTAGAAGGTGCTACAATCGGATCCACAGAAATAACATTTCATCCAGCATTTGTGAATGGTGGTCAATATGAAGCTGATACTAAAACTGCTGGGTAAGTATTAGTACATATTTTGTCTTTACTGTGAAGACACTTGATACACTTTTAATGCATTTTTTTTTTCTAGGAGTGTTTGTTTGTTGATGCAAGCTGCTGTTCCATGTATGATGTTTGGAAATGGTCCAATTGAACTACGTTTATTGGGTGGAACCAATGCAGAAATGGCACCACAGATTGACTATCAAATAATGGTCAGTGATACTCTTTTCCTTTTATAAAAAAATACTCACTGCTTCAGTGTATTGCAAAAAGTAGAATCTTTAGAACTGTTGAATTTTAAACAAAATGTGGATTACTGAACTCTGAATTTAAAGCAGATAAAATTAAATGTAAAATCAATTACTACACAAAATTATATGAACAAGAGATTTGAAAATCTTGATTTTATTTACATTATTTATGCGCAAATCAAAATATTGTACTCATCTTTGCTGTTATTATCACAACATTTTGGTTGTTGTGCCCTCTAGCCTTCTTCAAATGTTTGTTGATCTGGTTAACTTTCATGGAATTTCAAAATGAACCCTTTATTTAATCTACGGAGATAGATTAAATAAAGTAGAAACAGTGTCTAGATATATTTAGTCTAGTTCTTATTTACTGCTGCTCAGTTATTGCTTGTTTCCACTGCCCAGTCTGGGGATTGAACTCACAATTACTAATGCTTTAATGCACTAGGCTATTGTCCTGTGGGACAATCCTGAATGGAGAACTTAGAACCTTAAACTTAACCTGTCTGCTGATGAGTGCAGTTGTCACATTTGACTGCACTTACAGAGATTTCTCTAGGCATGGTCAGTGGAATGAGAACAATTTACTCTGGTAGATTAAATAAAGTGTTCAGTTTTAAATTCCCTGAAGGTTACATGGATTGATAAACATCTGGAAAAGACTGAAGGGCACAACTGCCAAAATGTGATAATAACAACAAAAATGAGAACAATAGTTTGCATGCATATAAATAATGATAATTCTTCTTGCTAGAAATTCAAACAGAAATCTTGATTTTAATCCTAAAGTTTAACATTTCTCTAAAGTTATATTTGAGAAATTTTATAATTAACATATTTTTCCTTTATGTAATACCTGCATTTTTTTTCTTTCAAACACACACACAACCACATATATATTTCCAAACAGGAGAACCAACATGGTCTGTCTATTTTTTTAATGTATTTTTTCAATTTTTGAATATTCAAATGTGGAAAAAACAATGAAAAGACAGACAGACCATGTCAGTTCTTTTTAATCAAACCTATTTGAATGAATACTTGCTACCTAAATATAACTCATATATTCAGTTGTATGGATATTAGTTTTTAACCCTGGGTTTCATGCTTTTGTGGTCATCAGACAAACTGGTTTATTTTTTCTAAAAAGTTGATCTATTTTTGCTTATTTGAGTTTGATTATTTGTGTGTGGTGAAGAGGGGAGGAATTTTCTTCTGTGTTTGTTTGGGATGACACTCTCACATACATAGACACACATATATACAGGTGTATGCATTTTAGTTCATACAAACACACCTATATAAATAATTTGAAGTTAGACATAGATACACATCCATGCGTTCAAGCATACATATATATGCAGTTGTCACCCTATTTCGGTGCCAAAACTGTATCATTACATATGCAGCAATGTTCTCTTAACAAGAAACAGGTGGGGGTGGTTTTGATGTTTTTCATATTGGTCATCCATGCCGTTAGATAAGCTCACATTTCCTCACACATACACACATGTAGATGCGTACCTATACTCATTGGTCTGTGTCCACTACCACCATGTTGGTTAAGTTGGGTTCTGTCTATGGACATGATCGTGATGATGTTTGTATTTTTAGCAACGCTAACTGCTGATGTATTATTGACAATTGTAATTATGTTAATGGTGATGATAACTGTGATATTATTGATATATTAATAACTAGTAGTAGAGCCCGGCGTTGCCCAGGGATATAACAGTAAGAGATAGATCAAGTATCCACCATCATAAAGACTGAAAAATAAAATTGACAAAGATTATTGTTTAAGGTTGACGGACACGCATGTCTTAATTAGTGTTTTTTTTTTTTTTTTTTTTTTTGATGAATTGGTCAAACCCAAACTCAAACAAAAACATTGTTTTCAATCGTTATGAGTCTCCCAATTGAATAAAATTTTATTATAAATAATTGTCTTGTAAATGGAATTTTTAAAGCATTCTGAATATTAAAAATAAAGAAAAAAGTGTGCAAGAGAATAAGAAACACTACCTGCCAAAAAAAAAAAAAGTGAAGTTTTGTTTTATCGGCTGAAAAATATAGGAAATGCGATCCCATATTTAAAGGAACCCACACACACAAACAACCCGATGTGAGTTGTCCCCCTTCCATTTTCACGATGCCTCTTAATCGTGTTTTCAAATTGATTTTGTGCAAAAACAATTATATTTTTCCCATTTTTGGCACTGTTAGAACCACCACAAGGTAATTTTATGTAGTCCTGTGAAGTTTTGTTGAAATCGGTTGAAAAATGTAGGAAATCCGATCCAATATATAAACGTTACAGACACACACACACAATCTACGTTTTATAATAAGTAAGATTATTATTGATATGTTATTGGTTATGAGAAATGGTAAAGTTAGCCTTAATGATGATGGAAGCAATAATATAATAATGACAAAAAAATGACAATGACAATGGTAATTATGATAATAGTTGTGGTAACCATGATGAAGATGCTAATGGTGGTAATAATAAAAATAATAATAATAGTAGTAAAAACAATGTCAATGATAAAAAGCAGTACAAATGGTGGTAGATATGGTTATGAAGTGATTGTTCTTAAAGTGGTTACAACAGTATTAATAGTAAAAATAATAGTAGTAGTTATTTTCGGTAGGCACATAAAGTGGTAGCAACAATACTAATAGCGAAAGTAGAAGTAGTCATTACATAATAATAATTTTGAAGTGTTAATGCTTTTATCTCTCGTGATGGCTGTGCTAATTGTTATGGTGGTCGTTGTGTCAGCAGGGGTGGTGGTAGTGTTGGTAACAGTGCTGATAGTGTTATTGATTCCTGATGGTGGTTATGTTTTGGTGGTTTTGTGTTTTAGTGTTCTCATTTTTTGAGGGGGGAGTTCTTTCCTGGTTGTGTTCAGTTTAGTTGTTAGGTATTATATGTTTTATTTATTTTCGTGTCTGTATTTTGAAATTATTTTTGATCTTTGGTTTAGTAATTCCTTTTGTTGAGTGTAGACAAAGTAGACATCTCTTTGATATGTTATTGTAGGCAGGTGCAGTTTTCATGATTTCCAAGCTTATTTTTGGCGTGATGTTTTTTGTCTTTTAGTTGTCATATGTATGTGGATAGTGTGGTGCTGTGGGTGTATTTTCTGTTGGAGAATGAGAGTTTGTGGGTGTATTTTCTTTGCTTGAATGTTCCTTCTGTGGTGCCAATGTAGTGCATTGTAGTGTTGTTTATGTTTACCGTAGCTTTATATACTATGTTTGTAGGCAGTTTCCTTGTAGTGGGCATCTGGTTTTGTCTCTGCAGTTGCATTGGGGGTTTTTGATTGCACTATTGCAGGTTATTATTTTTTTGTTGAGGCTTTTTATTATTTGTGTTATGTTCTTAATGCAGCAGTAGCTAACTTTTACATTGTTTTTGTTAAATATTTTTTGCTAAGAGGCTTGCTGCAGGGAAGTCTTTTTCTATTAGATTTAGGAATGTTTTGCCAACATTCTTTTTAAATCAAATAGAAAAATACTTCCCCACAACAAAAGAATTACTAAACCAAAGATCGGAAATAATTATTTCAAAATGCAGACACAAAAATAAATATCTACTATCACAGTTCATACCAAATGGATAATACCTACAACAAAACTGAACCCAGCCAGGAAAGAACCTACCAAAAAAAAAAAAAATGATAGAACACTAAAACACAAGAACACCAAAACATAACCACTAACAGGAATCAATAACACTTCCAGCACTGTTACCAACACTACCCCCCCACAAATGCAACCACCATTATAACAATTAATACAGATCAATAACACTACCAACACTGTTACCAACACTACCACCACCATAATAATTACTACAGCCATCAGGAGAGACAAAACCATTAACACTTCAAAATAATTATTTTGTAATGACTACTACTACTACTACTTTCGCTATTAGTATTGTTGTTACCATTTTATGTGCCTACCGAAAGTAACTACTACTATTATTTTCACTATTAGTACTGTTGCAACCACTTTAAGAACAATCACTTCATAACTATATCTACCACCATTTGTACTGCTTTTTATCAGTCATTGTTTTTATTATTATTACCATCATCATGATTATCATGGTTACCAAAACTATTAACATAATAACCATTGTCATTATTGTCATTTTTCTTTTTTTGGCATTATTATATTATTGTTTCTATCATCATTAAGGCTAACTTTACCATTTATCTTAAGCATCACCTCAATAATTATTATTAATATATCAATAATACAATCACAGTTATTATCACCATTAACATAACCAAAATCGTCAATAATACACTGTTTGTTAGTGTTGCTAAAAATACAAACATTATCACCATCATGTCCATAGACAGAACCCGACTTAACCAACATGGCGGTAGAAGACACAGACCAATGACTGTAGCTACGCATATACATATATGTGTGTATGTGTGAGGAAATGTGAGCTTATCTGACAGCGCAGATGGCTGATCTGAAAAACATCAAGACCGCCCACATTTGTTCCTTGTTAAGAGGACATTGCTACATATGTAACGATACAGTCTTGACACCAAAATAGAATGACAATTGTGTATATATGTATGCATAAATACATAGATGTATATCTGTGCCTAACCTCAGATTATTTATATGGGTGTGTTTTTTATGGACTAAAATGCACACACCTGTATATATGTGTGTCTATGTATGTGAGAGCGTCATCCCAAACAAACACAGAAGAAAATTCCCCCCTCTGCCACACACAAATAAGCAAAAATAGATCCACTTTTAAAAAAAAATAAACCAGTTTGTCTGATGATTGCAAATGTGTGAAACCCAGGGTTACAAACTAATATCCATATAACTGAATATGTTAGCTCTATCACACATATTGAGCACTTTCCAATAAGCACTGTGCATATATATATATATAAATATATATACACGCACACACACATTATGGCTGGTGTCATTATATAATTTGGACATTAATGACCTTGCCTGTGTCTTACCATCAAACTATTTGACTATTTGAATCATATGCAGTAAAAGGCAGTCTCTAATTTCCTTGACTGGATTCTGTCATTGGATCAAAGGTTGTTTGATGCTGAAAGTCCAGCAATTGAACTCACAATTATTGTGTCATTAAATTCATTAATAAACACTATAATCCTGTAGGCCATTGATTGAATAAAGGGTTAAATTCCATAAATATTACCTGGATAGTTCATCCCATGCTAATTCTGGGGGTGGCTTCAAACTTTTGAACTGTAGTGTGTGTGTGTGTGTGTGTGTATTTTAAATGAGTGATAAAATTTTGTCATGTAAATAAAATACTGCTTGATGGTTTTATTGAAACATTTGCTTATTTTCTTAATTTTCTTTTCAGGTCTTTAAGCCAATAGCTGAAAAATTTGGTGTCCGTTTTAACTGTGATATAAAGAGAAGGTTGGCATCATATCTTATATCCCTTTACTTTAGCTGTTTGTCAATATCCAAGGAGAGCTTGCTTTTAAATATTTTTCTTTCAATTTTTTTTTACCTCTAGGATGGTATACTTAGGTCTGATGGATACAAGTCTACTGTGCACATCTTTGATAATTTTTTAAAAATTAATAAAATACATTGAGAAAATTTTAAGTTTCTATGCATTGTCTGCTAGCTAATGAGACCCAAAAGGTTGTATAATGTTCAAAGTTTCCTGAAATAAAACAGAAGCATTTTTCCTAGAATCTTCATCTAATTCCAGCCATTCACCAGTTTTGAAGTAATTATTGATGACTGGAACTCCCACTGTTAGCAGTGTATGCAGGAGCATCTCTACATGGCCAAAGAGGTTGTTCCTGGTACAGTAAAGTCCAATCCTGGATTGGCTACATAAGTTAGCTAGATGACTTACCTGATTACCTCAGTGGCATATCAACTCATGCAACTGCTGCAGCTCTATGGAAATGTGACCAAGGAAGCTAGACATAAATGGAACTTAACCATTTAACAATGTGGTGTCTGTTTGGTAGTTAGATGCAAAGGAAGTCACACAGACACCACATTGGTTCTTGATAATGACTGTGAAAGTCAAAAGTACTTGAACAAAAATAACAAAATATGAACTTTGGACAGTTTATCCATAACTTCAAGCATAATACTCAACACCTTATCCCAAAATTGAAAAAATGCAATAAAAAATTAAACAGACAGAACTTATCAGTTCTTTTTAATCAAACTTGTTTCCTATTATTTCACAGAAGAGTTGATATTAAAGTGTGTACGAAGATAAATCTCTGATTTTATTGGAGACCCTTTTGTTTTTAAGTGGTCCTCTGTTAGAATCACATATATATTTTTGATCAAATTAAAAATCAATTTTATCGATGTATTATAACCATGAACATTTAGTTATAAATAATTACAGAAAACCTTCAGTTTTCACATTTTTATATTTAACACTTGTAAAAATTAACTTTGATATAAAATTTATCCATATATTAACTTATTTTTTTATATACAGTATACCATATTGATTTAACTTATTTAAGTTGATTTAACAAGCACCAAGAAGGAAGTCAATTTATGTACTCTTTTTACTCTTTATGGATAGGCATAAGATAATGCTGGCTCAATACAATATATGAAATGTGAAAAATTTCAGTTAGAATATATCTCTAAAAAGACAATATGAATAAAGACAAAAGGAAAACTTATCTTAGCTGATGCATTTCATCCTCTGAGGGACATTATCAAAACAAATGCTCAGCTAAGATAAATTTTCATTTTGTCATTATTCAACATAGATTCTCAGAAGGTTGCATTCATTAGTTCAAATTACTGAGCAAATGCATCCTGTGCATCAGTTGTTAATGACATATCTTGAGTATGCATCCTGTTTCTTGTATTTACTGTTTTAGAATTATGGTGCCAATAGGTAAAGCAGTAACTTCATGCTCCCTTGCCTTGCTTTTTACTTGAACAGTTTAATTACCTTAGATAAACCCATGTATTCTTTTGATTGATTTTTATATGGTTATATAACATTTATTGATTTATTTTGTTGCTCTGATTTACTGAGATTTTATGTAACTAAATAATGATTTTTTACATGTCAAACATTTTTATTTTGGCAGAGGTTATTACCCCAAAGGAGGGGGAGAAGTATTTATTCGCTCTCAACCTGTAAAGTATCTTCAATCTGTAAATATGACAAATGCTGGACAAGTGACCAGGATCTATGGTCGATCATTTGTTGCTGGGCAACTTCCTCCAAAGGTAATTTATTTGTTGCTTCTGCATGCATTTTTATATAATTTGTGTCAGTTTTTTCATTAAAAAATAGTTATAAAATTCAAGGGAATGATAAGCATTATCATTTCATAATTATTTGGATTATTTCTTAATAGAAACATATGGGGATTTTACTATATGCAAAAAAACATTATTGATTAACTCTTCTATAGGTAATAATTGAAAAGGATTCATAGCATGATATTGAAACCAAAAAAAATTGTTTATTTACAATATTTTGTGAAAAAGATATATCTAGAAGTTTGCTCAAAATATTCTTTTGAGCACCTAAATAAATTAAGCAAAGTAGAAAAAATGTTTATAAGAAAGTGAAGACTTAAAGTAATAGAAGTTATAAAAGTTCACAGTGTTGTCAAATTTTGTTGAGCCATTTGGAGGTTGAAAAGTCATTGCATTAGTAGGAGCAACTGTTGTTGAATGGAAGGAGTTGCTAAATAAATATCATTTGTGGTAAACTTTCAGAAGTTGATACAACCTTGTAAAATTATAGTGAAAGCAAGTGAGTTGACATCATATTATAGAGAGAAACATGGTTTAGCTGTGTGTTATTTTCAGACAGGTATGTTCAAAATTGTCTGTTTTAAGTTTTTCTATGTTTTCAGAGATGTGACATGGTCACTTAGGATCCAGCAACCTCTTTTATCAACTCACTACTGAAAGATTATTCTGTTGATTTCATCTATCCTGACTACTCACACCAAGCAGTCATATTGAATGGTATTTAAACCAGCCAACACCCCCCTTATATTCATGCTGGCTGTCTCACTAGTAGCTACTTTTCAAAATTGTTCCAAATTCCATCATTCTGATTGGTTGAAAATATTTTTGAGTTGTTTTTTAAGCCATTTTTTTTCTTTCTTTTTTATTGCCCTGAATCAGACATGGAGTCACCATAATCAAGCTCAGAAACGAGGCTTATCAAAAATGTCTCATTCAAACATCTCATTGGTTGGAAATGTCTTCACTCTAGGTAGTGAAAAGAGGCAGAGAGTCATATTTTTTCATATAAATTTTATAAACTATAATGAAGCTTAGTGTGATGCATACATTGTATACATTATATACATTGATATTGAACATTATTATAATACACATTATAGTGAGGTAGTTTTATTTTGAAAACGGTATGACAGTTTTACAAAATAAAAAGCAGTGTTATTCACAAGACCATTTGTGGAATATTTGTAAAGTTATATTTGCTATTTGTAATTGGTGATGAGTTGCAGTCCGTTCTCTGATAGTTGATATAAAAACACTTTTATAAAATAACTGAAAATTACCCCAAACTTTTGTTAATATTTACAGTGTAAATATACCTTAGATATATACAAACTAACTCATCACCTGTATTGGAGAATATAACCAAGACTTATTTTGCTTATGATTAATTTTATAAACAATTTTAAATGTATACATTACTACATTCATTTTAAAAGCTGTTACTTTTTTATTATTTGTACCATCAAAAACCTTTAGATTAGCATAATACATCATAGAGTAAATATAATGGTTATAAAACTAACTTGTACTGATTGACATTCAAAAGTAATAATTTAAAAATTGAATCAGTCACTGTATCTTGATCCATTTATATATGAACAAAATTCCTAATTATGATACAAAGATATATCTGCATTCAACAATTTACTTTTTGAATTATGTTTGTTTCAAACTGTGGGAATGATTGCAAAACACTTCTCCCTCTCCTTTTATAGGCATAAGCGCATAAATGCATGCTGGGATCATTTTTTCTTAGCCAATAAAATAGGCCAGTTCTCAGTTTGACCTGACACAGTTCTGATCTATCTTGTCTTGAAGTCAGAATGCTGTTTGCTTGTCTGAACTTGTTCTTGTGTGTCAATGCCAATTCTGAGTTTGTGAACTTTTTACCCTATTACTGTTTTTTGCCTTGCATATATTGTTTGTTTGCTTTATATTATTTTTTACCCATTTTTTTTATGTTATTGCAAACTTTGTGACTTCTGTTTGTTGGACAGTTCTGTTACTTATTTTGCATTTGACCATGGCTACCCACTCTACAAATTATCATTAAAAGTGACTTGGCTTTTATTAGTCATGAAATAGACTTTGCTCAATAGTGTTCATGTGTATATTTGAGAGGGTAACTCTCATGTCAGTAGATTCATTAAATGCAACAAAACCCCCTTTGTTATATTTGTCAGAGAAAAAAAAATATAAATATTAATTTGTACTAGTTTGTCACTAGGCTTAAAACTATATTTTACTTGTTAGGATAGACAAAGTAATTTAGTTAAAATTTTTAAGTACTAGGTTTATTTGTTTTTGCTTTTTATTAATCATCAGATGACTTAACTGCTAAGTGAATGTTATGGATAGTGATATGATTATTCAACCTTGTGACCTATTTCTGATCTGAACTTTATTGTAAAATGAGATAAATTTACAGAGTGTTTAATTAAGTATAGCCTTTCTTTTTAAAATATTTTACTAAAAAGTAGTTTAAAAATGTTTATTTATTAAGTTCAGCTTAGTCAAGCACAAGTCCACAGTAGTAGGCATCCAGTGAGGATCACACCCATATATTTCAAGTAAGTAAATATAAAATAAATGTAGTGCTCACTTTTTAAACAAACAAACAATGCATAAAATTTACTTTATGAGAAAAAAAAGCAATGGAAGTAAGAAGAAAAATAGTCAAAACTGAATAATAATTACAATGCTTCACTTAAAAAAATATGGATAGACAATTACATCTATTACTACTACCAAGTGTAGAGAAGCAACAGAAATAAGATTAAGATATACTTATTTACATTAGTTATAGGCAAACTAATGTCCTCTTCTTTTTCATCACAATATTTCAGCTGTTGTGCCCTGGCTTTCTTCAGGTATCTCCCAATATTCTTCAAATTTTAAACTGAACCCTTTATTTAATCTACAGGAGTATATTGTTATCATGCCCCTATCTAGGTTTAGGGCTATCTCATTTTGTTCTTTTTTAAAGTACTGCTCAGTTATTTTTAGTCATGTTTTCATTAAGTCTCAGGTTGTACTACCTAACCCAGGGATTAAACCCACAATTACTATTACACCAGATTCACAATTTAATGCTTTAATCCCTTAGTCTATTGTCCCATGAGAAAAAAAAGAAATACTAGTCCAAAATTAATAATTTTTTAATTGCAATTGGAGGCTTCATTTAAGAAATTTGGACAATTTAAGACTATTATATCTAGTACTAGAAGTAGTAGTAAAGAAACAATATGGTGTGGAAAAATTAGTTATGGAAGACTATAGCTATATGGCTGATTTTGAAATTTGCCTGCTAATGCATCTTTGTGTCTTCAGTAAGTACTATTCCTGTGAGACAGGCTTCAAAGGATATTGGATACAAATTCAAATCTCATTAAAGGTTACCATTTTTATTTGTAATCTGTGCTGTTTACTTAAGTTATGAAAAGTAAAAATGATCTGATGAAAAATTGATAAACATGAATGAAATTTAATCTTTTTTTTAAAGTTCTTTTTAGTCGTTACTAATTTTATGTTGCTTATAAAATAAAATTCCTTTTTTATTTAAGGTTGCGCATATCATGGCTGAACATGCAAAATCTACTTTGAAGCAAAAGATGCCAAATATTCCAATTCATATAGATGTGCTTAAAGAACCTAACCACCTGGCTGTGGGGACAGCTTCAGGGATCATGTAAGTGATAAAAATTGAATACTTTTGCAAAGTTTGTAGGATGAAACCATCTAGAATGGTGTCCACCTATCTAACATACTGTTATGGTCCAAATCCTTGTACCACGGTGATGGTCCAAGGTAGAACCAATAAAGAAGAACTCAAACACGGATATGGAATAACACAGATATATTACAAACAGGAATATATACAGAGAAGTAGAAAGGGTTAGTACAAACAATCAGGTTTAGTAGGGAGAACAATGTAGTCTCGACCAGTATCACTATTCTAATGTCTTGTGGTAATTGTCTGATCACAACTCTGTTTCTGACTGACTGACAGACTCCTGATGGACTTGACTTCAGACTGAACTCCCTGCTTCCTCTTGAGGCGCAGTATTTATTACATAACATATGGAATAGTCCATTATGTTATTATGGGTAAGGTCCCATAACACATACATTGATAAGTCCATAGCCCAATGATGAAAAGAGTATTTATTTTACACAAAAATATTTTACTCTTTCACTATCTGGTTTATTATTGTCTTTTCTTGATACATGTTTTGGATGTTTTGGAAGCCCATTTCATCATGCTTCTCCAGGCTATTCTATCTAGAGCTATGTCTTCTTTCAACTTCAGTTTCTTGAAGTTATTGATACCTTCTCTCAACTGTCCTTTGCCATAACTCCTCTCAGTGCACTGCTTCAACCATCAATTGTTTGGTTGTACATGTCCAATCAATCATAGTCTTTGGGTAGTCAGCAACAAATCCAGAAGAGGAATGCCTAGGTATTTGTACAATGACAGCATGCTCTGTCAAGACTTTACACTGTATATCCATTTGATCATAGAATGATCATCTTATACCAGATGTAACTTTTCTCAGCATGTGTATACCAGGATATACCAGTATAGGTGAAAACTCTACAAACACGGGAGTTGTAAATATTGTTTTGAGTACAAGTGATGTAGCAGTGCATCATTATGGGCAACTGTTCTTTACATTTACCGAAAGCAGCTCAAGATCTAGCATTTGTTGCAAACATGCAACTGCCACTGATGCTAATCATATCACTTGGGTTGTTGATTTTTTTTTTTTTTAATTATTTATAGAAAAGGCACAAGGAAGCTACATTCCCACCACTGTAACATAGCTTTCCTGTGCCTCTATAAATATTTTCATGATAATTGTTCTGATGAGATTTCCTCTGGTACTTGGACTTCATGAATTTAAGTACATTACTAGATTGGCAGCAAAGTTTCATCATTTTACAGTTGAAATGTAACTTTAGTTTCTTCTCTCGCTCTTTTTACTTGTGGAACTTTTTTCTGGCTTTTTGTTTCCAGTCAACTTTCATGAAAAAAATGTAAATGCAATGCCGATCATTATTTTCTGTCTTAATTTCTCTTCTTTTATTGTTTTCTTTTTCTCATAGTCTCTCACATTCAGTAACCTTTGCATCTTAGTGGCTTTATTGACTTGCTTGAGGTGAAATGATAAAAAAAACAAAAAAGAATTAACTATCTCAAATTTATTACCATGATTGACTCAAGAGGATGTCCATCAATGAATCTAGGAATGTTTCTTCTACCATACCTGAAGCTAGCATCCTTACTAAGTCCACCACAAATGTCATTACACCTTCTGTGAACCCAGTGATTACATTCAGAATAGAAGATAGTTACAGCCACAGACAGACATGACATGGACATTTTCCAGTGTCATGTAAATTATTCAAATTAGTACCACTAATCATAACTTTTGTCTTTTCCAAGTTGACTTTTAAACCTTTGCTTTCCAAGTTTCCTTTCTTGACTTAGACAAAAATATTTATTTTCAATATAATCACTTTTCTTGTCAATGTATTTTAAACCAACATTTCTCTATTAATTACACAGTTTGGAAAATATACAGTGAAACTTTCAGATCAAAATTTGATTGATAACTTTTTCAAACTATGGACTTATTTATGCATCCTTATGCATGTGTTTTACATAAATGCATTTAAAATGATAATTGATATTTGTATATGATTGGAATAAAAGACTATACATAAAAAAAGCCTTGTTATGTTGTTTTAGATTAATGTTAAAAATATAAAACTAAATGAAGTGTGTGCAATTTCTACTTTATATTTAAGTGTTGTCGCAGAAACAACAACAGGATGCCTTCTTGCAGGATCAGGACTTGGCAAAAAAGGTTGGTTTCTCTTTAGACTCGTAAAACAAACATTTCCATCTTGTTTGTTTTTTTATGACTTCATGATTTGAAAATACTGTCTTTTTCAATACACATACATTTAATTCCTTTTAATAACAGATGTTGATCAATGTGTGTGTATATATATATATATATATATATATATAGCCACTATTTACCATTTTACTTTGTTTTGGAATCACTTCATTATTATAGTGTTATTTTTATTTCTTTTAGAAAATAGTAAGTAAATTTGCAGTGTAAAAATTAATACGTGAACACTAAAAGCATGATTAGATAAGGAACAAATAGAAAATGTTTATAAATATCATTCCGTTGGATTCTAATCCATATTCACTAAAAGCATATAAAATATCTCAAACAACTTAAATTGCTGAAAAATAGAACAAGTAAGAAATGGATAAATATAAAAACAATTTTACTGACTTGCTTTCTATGACAACAGAGCTATTTTAGTTTTACATGAAGCATTTTCTTTATTATTACTGTATTCTATCTTCTTGTTCCAACATTGAGGCTTTAAATACTTCAGAAAACAGTAGAAAATTGAAAATAAAGAAGTAGCTTCCATAAAGATTTGAATTAACATTTCACACCCAATAGGATGTGCTGGTGGTGTAATGGTGGCTTGAAACAAGAAATTGTCAAATCCAGTTCATTAACACTCACTTTCACACAAATACCCTTGGGAAGGTATGAATACATATCTTCTCCTCCCAGCTGGGGGTTAAATAGCAGTGCAATCTAGGAGAAAGACAACTCTGAATTCAAAACCTGAGATGGTCACCACTAGAATAGACTTAATTAATGGTAATCCTCCTTAATGTGGTGTCGTCTCTAGCACTTGTAGAGAGCGTATTGATCCAGCAACATTGATGAGCTGGAGTAAAGCTATTAATAAAATATTAACATGAAAAATGTTTTATATAAAAATTTTAAGAACAATTTTCTTATTACTCAACAGCAAAATATTGTGTATAGAAAATGAGGGAGGAGATAATATTGGAATGACCACAGGTATATACACCTGAATGCAATTATGATCAAAATAGTTAAAGTGATATTCATGAAAGATGAACTCTGACAAGTTGGATACAAGTTCAAGCCTTGTCTGAAGCTACTTCTTTATTAAAATTTCTGATATTATGCTGTTTGTCCTAGCAGTCAAAATGTATATCAACTAAAAATGGACTGAAAGTGAGTAACAAAATAACAAGACCAGATCTTTGGACAAACACCAAATTAAGGAAGAAAATATTGTTAGATACTTGTTATTCTATACATTACATATATAAACTGATAAAAAATCAACCTGTAACCATTCTGGTTTTATCTATAAAAACTTTGAGAGGAGTTGAAAGGCTTGATTTGTTGAGAGTTTAAATAGATCATGTTATTTACTTATATTGTTTGAAAGAATTATTCTTAAAACATTTTATGCTTTGTACAATCTTTGAAAATCATTAACCGAAATATTAATACATGATGCTTGTTTAATTAGGACGGTCTGCTGAAGATGTAGGCTACCAGGCAGCTTCAAGTCTCCTTGACAATCTTCATCATGGTGGGTGTGTGGATGATTACCTACAAGATCAGGTAAAATTTGTTTAATTGTTTAGTAGCTCAATTTGATTTTATGGGTACTAGACTGGAAAGAAATTTTAATCAAATTTCTTCCTAGGTGAATTTTTCAGAAGACATTTTACACCAGAGACTCCTTCTCCCTGTGACAATTCTGACAAAGTCTACACCTGATGTAGAATAACAATTTTACCATTTTTCTTATTTTTATTTCAGATCATAATTCTGATGGCTTTAGCGAAAGGAAAGTCTTGTATTCGATCTGGGCCACTGACTCTGCATACAGAGACAGCAATCCATGTAGCTAAACTACTCACTCAGGTAAGTGAATGATTTTTACTTCTACTTAGTGCAGAAATTAAAAAATTTTTCCATTATCTTAATTATTTAAGATTACTGAAGCTTAAAGAATTAATCTAAAAAGGAAAAATATTCCATGAAAATTTATAATCAAAATTAATTTATAATTAATTTCATTTAAAAAAAATCTATCTTTTGATAATGTTTAATTGAGAATCTGTTCTCAGTAGGTTAAATAATAAAAAAACAAAAAAACTTATTTTAATCCAGCTTAATACAATGAAAATTAATGCTATTACCTAATTAAAAATTTATCACTTTGTAAACAAATGTTCAATTTGAAAGAAGCTGAGAACTTAAGATATTTTTTTTTTTTTTTTGCTGAAATATTTGAAGCTTTTCAATTGGGTATTAATTATGAAAACCATTTTTGTTTTTTTGCAGGCAAAATTTACTGTAAAAAACTTGTCCCAAACACAGACAATAATTGAATGTGAAGGAATTGGGTTAGTGAACAATGGAATTTGATGATACTTTCCTCAGCAATTCAAAGGAAAATAATTTTCCAATGTATCTCAACATTGGTTATTCTCCTGATGCTAGCAAACATATTTACTCAAGATCAGGTTATCAGTCTGAAGACTTGTCAGGCTATGAAATAATCTTTTTTATTTCTTTTTTGATCTCACCAGAGATAAATGAATTTCTTGTGATAATTTTGGACAGGAATATTTCTGGATTTATTAAAGATGCATTCTATCTTAGTTTATTTAAATGAGTTGTATGAAAAGGACAAAATTGGAAATCACAAGGAAAATTGTTTTTCTCAAGGTGATAGAAACTTTAGCTGTTTATTACAAGTTCTTCTTGAAGTTCCTTAATCAATTATGCAATGAAAAAAAGTTTTCATCTTATTTATTGACTACTTGTTTTTATTTTGGGAAGATTGTTAATTGGTCAATGTTCAAATGTTATTCTATTGTAAAAATTTTACACACTACTTTGAATATGAGACTATGAAAATCTGATAAATAGTTAAAATGATTTTGTTTTATATTTTTAGTGTAGTCATATCGAGTTTTTTGCAATTTTTTTCCATAGGTTAACATTAGTACATTGACCTTGAATATAAATTTATTTTTACCAACATTTTTTTCAGTGTGATTCTTTTTACAGCAAAACTCACAATGCATTTTTTAATATATGCCCTGCAAAAATATTTGCTATTCAGTTGAATTTCAAAGTAAACAACCCCTTAAATGCTTAGCTTGCATATAAAAGAACATTTTATTAAAGTATCAGTAAATTACTATTATTTTCTGCCAGATTTAATATGAATTTTGCTCTTTAGTAAATACCCTGTTCATGCAATGAAGCTCATAGGCTTAAAAATGTTTTGTAAAATGATCAGTTCAGTTCTTTTAAATGCGTTCACTAAAAAAGTTAAGTGGTTTGTGTTACATTGCATGGACTAAAATGTTGATCTTTTTTTCTTTTTTTTCTTACCCTCCTTTCTCTGAGTAAAATTTTTTGTGATTCCAACAATTTGTTTTTTAGTATTGTCAAGAATTTATATGAAACATTTCATATTGATGTTTTATTAAATAAGACATTCTATTTTGGAGTGTGGAAGAAGCTTGTTCAAAAAATAGTTAATTGTCAAATTGGGCACAACTCACTTTTTGGAATATCATTGTTTGAACACAAAGTGGAAATAAGTAACTGAAAAGAAATATAAGAAAATGCTGCTGAGGTTTGTTTCTTAAAGTCAATCAGCTTTGTTTTTCCTACAGTACATTTTAATATTTGTATTTCTTGGCATACCTAAATAAGTACAGTAATGAGACATACACACAGTTTGGAAAGAAAAGTTTTTTAATGTATTATTGCATGATATGTCAAATGTCAGAACTTTGTCCATGTTCTCTATTTGGTCCAGTTCAACACAAGTTTCCTTTTGTTCAATTATAACAAATTTATAAAATACTAATAGGTTTTTCTTCATGATCAGCAGGCATTTTCTGTACAATGGATGTCTTTGTAGGGTCTGGATAACAAAGGTAATTTTTAATACTTGCCTGGTGATAGCATGTTTTTTTTTTTTTAAGTAGGTGGTTGACCAAAATGCCCTACCTGCTACTCTGTTCCTTCACATAGTTTATCAATTTGTGGCAAATAGAGTAGCTTAATCTCTTACCTTTTGTAGCCATATTTAAGAGTAAAATTCTGTAAACTGAAATAACACCAGCATTTTATCTGTTGCTACCAAGTAGCCCTAATGAATATACTGACTATAAGTAAATACACCATTCATTCTTCTTGGACCACTTAGTATGATGGACCCATTTCATTGAAACCTTAATGTCATTTCAAGTACTTTTACTAATATTATTGTTATGGATTTGGTTTATGTAGAAGTGACCATCTAAAGCAGAATTATAGCCCAGAAGATGGATATTTTTTTTAGTTCATTTAATTGAAAAGAAAAAATGCATTTTATATGCAATCAAATATAGTAACCATTCAGAAATAAAAGCAGCTTGTAAAATTGTTTCTAGTTCTAGATTTATGTCTGTCTCATTAATCATTTGCTTCTAAAATGTGATTAAGAAAAACAAGTCGAAAATAGGGTATTGCTGCCATATTGAGACTGGAACTGCACAATCATCACTTACCAGCCTTGACAAAATTCAAAATCTATGGCAAATGTTCAGACAAGCTACAGTCCTTAGTTCCACAACTAGGACCTGCCATGCACACAGGGTTGAATCATCTTTATTCTATTTGTACTCCATTGGTAAGAAGGTTCCAAGAACTGCTACTTTGTAGAACTGACTTCCAAGAGGATGTCAATCACTACAATCTTAACTTTTTCAAATCTAGGATCATATCATAACATGCACTTACTTCTTCCGCTTATGTCCAAACAGCAACCCTCTACTTTGAATGGCTCTTGAGCTTTATAGTGGGTGAATATTTAGTTAAAGAAAAATTCAACATACATAAAAAATGCAATAATGCAGTGTAAGTGAAATATCAATTTTATTATACATTTCCATCTCCCTCCACTAAATTAAAAGAAATCATAACATCTTTGTCATATAAGGTCCTTCCAGCTCATAGCCAATTTTTCGGTAATAATTCCTGGTGCCAATTCCTGAAAGAAAGAAAATTATATAAAGTTGGGTTTAAAAAGAAAAAAAAAAGTGACTGTTGCTGTTAGAATTTTATTTGTTTACTTTCTTAATTTATTTGCTGAAATATCTCCTTTTTCCAAATACATATGAAATTCATTATACTCACTTATATTTGAGTGGCTTAATGTTTACCAACTTCTAACATGTACTTTATTTAATCAAGTTTAGCATCCAGTGGAAGCAATAGAATTTTCTGAGAAAGTTACAAATTTTCAGACTTCAAAAGATTCTGATCATAGTGAAAAAATTCCACCAAAGCAGTTGAAATTTACTGTTTTTCTTTCATCTGATTGTGCTGAGTTTGACAAATTATTTTTGACACAGAAAACAAATGTTTGGTCAATAGTCTAATAAAAGTTGCAGCAAACATAGTAACAGTTCTCAAATTCTTTTTTAAATAGATTTATCTTTTAAGTTATTAATTTGTGCAAAATTTTCAAATCACTTTACTCTATTTCAGAATCAAAATGTAGAGAATTTATTTGACTTTACATTTTATAGATGTGAAAGGAATTTTTGTTCATTTTTGTTTAAGTTGAAGCTTTGGAGCTAATTATATTCGAGTTTAGATTTTACGAGAACTAAGTTATTCACAAAAGAGTAAAAGAAAATCTTATTTGAACAAAGGAGACAATGATGATAAGCCTCACCAATCCAAAGAATGAATTGCTATCTAAAATTATATTTATGAGTTGTCCAGACATTTTTAAGCTTTGCCATTGCACAAGAGTATCACTTACAATTCTATCTAAAGTCACAAGTTTACTTCAAAGATGGACCACTATGTCACATTGGAGATAATAAAAACCTTTTCTGTATACTATCAATGATATATTCCCAAGTGCATAAACTTTCTCTTTATCTTGTCCACTCTTGAATAAAAGCAGCATTGTTGGGCTACCATACTTTCAAGCTTTTGCTTCTTGTGAATTGTTGAAAGTTTAACTTTGGAGTGATATTCTCTTTCTCTTCAAGAGGAGATTTCTTTTAATAATAATCTTTAATGCTATTTTATACTTTATCAATATATCATTTTTAATAAAGAAAACAGAAATTTGATTTATACAAACCTGAGATTACACCAATCTTTTGAGAACCATGTTCCTCCTTGGCAATTCTTTCAGCCTCCTCCATCAACAACATACCAAAGCCCTACATTTAATAAAAATTATGTCGTGATTATTTAGAAATTTCATTTTGGGGAACATAAGCAATTAAATAAATGTTTCTTTTTGAATGCACATGTGTATGAAAATTATCTACATTACTGGGTCCATGAATCTCATAAATTACAATGCATATTTATATAAAATATAGCTAATCAATGAAAATGATCTTTATATATATTTTTCTGGAAACAAAATACAAAGATAATACAGTAAGAAAATTAAGGTTTTTCCATTCATATATCCAAATAATTATATAATCTTTTTTTAACTCTTACAAAAATGTATTCATGAAGCAGGATTTTTAAGGGAGAGTTTAAGAATAAGTGTCAGTTCTGTAAAATTAGGAGTTAAAATGAATTTGTAGCTGACAGATGAAAAGAATGTAATTTGAATATTGAATAACAAAAAATTTAAGAGTAAAAACTTAAGTCTCATTTTATTAACATCACTAATGGAAGATAAAATGGATATTGCTAAGGTGATAAAGTCTATAAAAACAAAAACTTCACTTATTCCATTGATACCTGATTTAATTATTTGCAATATTTTTTTTTGTTTTTAAATAGCTGTGTAGGTAATAATAGATTCTTACCTGGTGTTGAAATTTAGCAACATCCCGAGCATGCACCGGTACAACACTTCCATAAACATGCAATTCCCTAACAATAGAACATCCACCTTTCAACTCTGGTCGAAATGTGTCTTCAGAACATTTGCGCAAGCGTAACAAACCAATCAGGATGTCTTGCTCTGGATCTTCATAAGAGAGAAAAGTTTCCCAGCCCCCATTGGCAACATAGTCACGCCGAATTAGTTCAACCTGAAAATAAAAATGATATTAAATAATGTTAACAGAGAAAAGGTATATTCTCTGTTTTGGGATATATATATATATATAAAATTCTTGTTCATTTTATTTGACCTGAAATGCTAAAAAAAATAGAATCGTTATTTTTCTTCAGGAAATTTACAATTAGAATTATCTTATTTGAAATCTTGAAAATAGTTTTATAATGATCATAATCTCTTCTTTGAAAGAAGGTGATAAGAATTTTACACTACATTTAGCTAATAAAAATGAGCAAGTCTTTTCATGTTTCTCAGTTAAAAGTGGTTTTGAAAAAAATTATTTATTAGAATCCTGAAAGGTAATTAAGCCATTACAAGTAAATAAGATTGTCCATGTATAACAATTAACAAATACATTTTCCCAAACTATTTGCTGTAATCTTCAACTACTGACCAAGGCATTCAGAATATAACAGTATATTTTTATAGTTATTCACTTGAGAAATTGATATAAAAACCAGCTTAATTCAAATATTCTCAACTCAGCTTCTATGCTGATGACACAACTATTTACTTTTGTTTTAATAGTAAGTCTGACCAGTTCGATAAGGTCAGACTGTCAGCTGATCTCAAAAATGAACTACAATCTGCTGTTAACTGGGGGAAGGAATGGCTTGTTAATTTTAATGCCTCCAAAATGAAATTTCTCTTTATTAATCATCTGAGAGACCCTTTTCTGTCTTCCATCAGCATGGCTGATGCTAATTTCCAGGAGAGTGACTCATGCCTTCTCAGGCTAACATTCTTGACTGCCATAAAGTGGAAAGATTATATTGAAACAACTGCTAAGTCTTCTGCTAAGAAAGTTAGTTCCCTGTGTCATGATAAACAGTTTTTCTCTCCAGAATCTATCTTACATATTCATAAGTCTACTACTTGTCCATGCTTTGAATATTGTTGCCATATATGATCCACTGCTCCTGCTATATATTTAGGGACTCTTGACAAAATCCAAAGACGAATCCACAATATTACTGGTCCTGACCTGGCATCTTAGCTTCAGTCACTTTCCCACTCTTGTAATTTAGTTTCCCTGTACCTTTTCTATAAATACTTTCATGGTAATTGTTTGGATGAACTTTCTGCTATTGTACCTAGATTTTATGAATTTAAGTGCAGTATTAGATTGGCAATAAGGCCTCATCAATTTACAGTTGGCTAGATGTAACCATAACTTTTATACTAACAGTTTCTTCACACACACTTTTCGCTTGTGAAACTCTATTCTGGCTCCATGTTTTCCAGCCAATTTTGATGTTCAAAAATTTAAATGCAATGTCAATCTCTGTTTGAATTTCTGGGATGAGGAGTTATTATTATTTACACTATATTAGGACTATTGCCCTAATCTTTGTTATTGTTATAATGATGTTTCTATTCAGCCTTCCTCAGGTTTATATCAATCTGGGTAACCTACAGAAAATTCTGAATGAAAATGAAACTGATCAAAGAGGCTCACATTCATAACAATCGGATGGTAAGCCTGTTCACCAGAGCTCCTACAGATGAGGCCCTAACTGTGGTTTGAAACCGGTAGGAATCAGACCCCTCCTCCCTAGGAGAACATACTAACATTCCAATAGAAGTGTTGAAGTTCTGTGTACAGACAATATTCTTCCAACTAGAGTCTGATATATACCAACAAGAAGAAGGCTTGACTATGGGCTCATTATCACAAGTGATGGCTAACATGTACATGGAATACTTCAAGGAAATGGCTTTAGAAAGTCACCTCTAAAGTTAACAGTATGGCTGAGATACATAGATGACACTTTCATATTCTGGTTGCATCAGGAAGCTGTACTATTACTTTAGGACCATGTGAACTCAATAAGACCTTTGATCCAGTTCACAATGGAAGAAGAAAATAATAATCAGCTAGTCTTCCTGGATGTACTAATAACTTGCACAAAGAATAGGTTCAAAACATCCATATATCACAAGTCAACCTTCACTGGACAGTACCTCAAGTTCAATTCCCACCATCCATACAGTGTGAAGAAAGTGATCATTTGATGCCTACAACACTGGGTAAAATCATAAGTGGTGACTCAGACATATACCAACAAGAAATGATCAGCATCAAATGTACCCTTCAGAATAACAACTACCCAGCAAACATAATATCAGTGTCTACAGGTGGTAACAAAAGGGACAAGGAGGATGACCAGTAAATTGCCACAGTCTGTCTACCTTATGTCAAGGGCTTAGCAGAAAAAATTCAGAAGATCTGTGGTCCATGCGATATCAGGACAATATTCAGAGGCAGTTCTATTCTGTCAAGTAAAGTCTAACACAGGAGAGAACATGAACAAGAATTGTGTGTACTCGATTCCTTGCAGTGGTGACAGAGAATATGAAGGTGAAACAAGCTGCCCTGTAAAAGTAAGACAGGAGGAACATTGAAAAACCATAGTTAGGTTTAAGGCTCCAAGTTCACTACAGCAAGTTATCCTAAGTGGATTAAAGTGTTGGTTTGTGCATTTGGTGACAGTGTGAATTCAGTCCCTGGGTCAGACAATGTGTACATGCACTCAGTGGAAACAGGGTAAGCAATAACTGAGCAGTACTAAATAAAAATAAGAACTGAACAATATCCATAGACATGAAAAGTGGAACAAGAACAGTCTACCCCTGTAAATTAAATAAAATGTTCAGTTCAGAATTCCCTGTAGGTTATCCAGATTGATATACACCAGAGGAAGGCTGGAGGGCACAACAGCTGAAACATTTTGATAACAACAACAAAGATGAGGACAATAGTCCAAATATAAATAATGTAAATAGCAATGTCAATCGTTATCGACTTTCTTTTTGATTACTCTACTCTTTTTTATTGCTTTCGCTCCTTAATGTTTTTTTTAATTCTTTCACACTCAATAACTCCTTGTTTTAATGGCTTTACTGCCTTGCTTGGGTTGAAATGATTAAAAGAAAAAAAAATATTTTAGTGCAATGGCTTATGGTTGTCTTAAGTTCACTTAGTATATTTAACTTAAAATCAATGCTATAAAATGATCATTTACCTCATATGGTTTAACTTTGTGATGAATTTCCTGAATTCCTACTTCTCGTGTACGAACGTCACGACACTGAGTGCCTAGATCTTTCATTCTGGCCAAAGCTAATTCTCGCAGATTTCCATGTTCCACACCAGAGCTGACTAGTGGCATTGGAATGTCCCTGAAAGAATTAAATAGAGAAATATAATTTTTTTTTTTTTTAAATATCATCAAAAGGTGTTTCTCCTTTTTGATTATATTAGCATTCTTGAAATGCTAAAAAATTTAGATAAATATTTAGAATGATGATAAATATGAAAAATGTATATCAGTGACTTCAGCTTTCAAAGCATGGCATACAGATATATTGTTTTTTTTTTTTTTTTAAATGGAGACAATTACAAATTATATGATGGAGAAATAAGTTTAGTAAATTTTGGAGTTTTCAAAGTCATTATTGGAATTATTATTAGAATTTATTTGAATGATTTACTTGACACTTTTCTCTTATATTTAATGGATTTATTTTTAAATAAATAAATAGATAAAAATTAAAATAAATACTATAAATGTACTTTCTGTCTGAACTTCTGGGATAAGAAGTTATTTACATTTGGACTTTGATGTTATTATCATAATGTTTTGGCTGTTGTACCTTCTGGCCATCTTCAGGTGTCTGTCAATCCAGGTAACCTTCAAGGAATTTCATACTGAAATTTTATTTAATCTATAGGAGTAGATTAAATAAAAGGTTTAGTTCAAAATTCCCAGATTGGCAATTGATTGATTTGTTTTCTATGGCTTATCATCCCTATGCAGGTTATATAAAGCCAGAAAGTATTTTTAAACTTAAGAACTTTTTTTTAGATAATAATGGTTTAGTGATACAAATTTTACTAATTAGCCCTTACCTGAGGGAGAAGAGGTGGATTATTACCTTTCCCAAGGGTATTTGAATATAACAAACCCAACTGGAATTGTAACTGGGTTTTCTGATGAACTATCCATCATATCACCTGCACATTTGGATGTGCTTACAACTTGGTATTCCCAAGCAGTCACCAGGCTCAGTGTTGCTTAACTTCGGTGATTGTATGGGAACCAGTGTTTCAACGAAAAAACACCAGATTGACAAGTACCTGATGAAAGCTGGAGGGCACAAAATGTTGCGATAATAACAACAAAGATGAGGACAATAGTCCAAATATAAATAAAACATGTAGTATTATTACATTACACAATCTTATAATTGCTGCTCAAACAAATGGATCAAATTCAATATATACGAGTCTTACTACCTAAATTGGTCAAAGGAATACAACTAGACTGTTTCACAACTAGAGAAGGGTATCAATCCATGTAACCTCACTACAACAACTATTATGGCCAGAGTACGATGTGATTGATGACCCAATAAGGGTGGTAGGTTCACATTACTCTATCTGATAAATGTTGCTTTTTATCACTACATACTTGGCTGATGCAATCATTGATTGCTGGAGCAAATGGTGAAAAATGTAATTCAGAAATTATATTTAATATTTCCTATTCTTAATTATGAATTTGATAATATACATTAAATGCAATAGATTTGACTCATTATTTTAAAACAAATAGACGTTGGTATTATTTTTTATACCTATAAGGAAGAATACAATATGAAGTTTATTAAGATATAGTTTAAAGATCCTGGTATTGATAGAATTGAAACTTAGAAGAACATAAAATTTTAATTTGAATTCTTTATAAAGAATGATATAAATATTAGTTTCTATATTTACATTAAAAATAAAATTACATAACTAAAACATGATTGTATTTACTGCTTCAGCTTATTTAATATATTAATTTCAAGAATTTTAAATAAATGTTTTAAAAAAGAAAATTAAAAGATTATGAATTATTTTTTCTTTGATAAACCAAAATTTAAACAAAATATGCTAATGATAGCATAGTTATTATTAATTGCCAATTATACAAGTTTTTGATAAAAATTTGATCTGTTATAAATGCTCCACAAAGTATGGCCTTCTACCAGACTTTGCATAATTCAAGTCATGAAAACTAAGCTGTAATATCAAGCCTAGCTCTTCTTTAGTAGAATATAAAACTGTCTTACGTATTCTTGCTCACATATTCATGACTAAAATAAAATTTAAGACAAAAAAGCAATATCTGTATTAGTTAGAAACACAAATTAATAATTTGAGAAAAGTAAAACCTGTTTTGTTGGGTGGGGACTTTTCAGGATATTATAAATGATGCCAAAAGAAGGAACAAAAATGTTTAAAATTTATAACAATAGAAGAGATTTGTGAAGAGTGTTGCCATTTGTAATCTCTTAAGATTTGATTGCTGGTGCATCTGGACAGAGAGCAAATGTTAAAGGACTTTCATCAATATTGAGACTATAATATTTATATATAAGATGATTATGTGGATAAAGCAAATGGTGCATCACAAGAACAAATTAACTAGCATGGAGAGTGAAGTGAATATGGAGTTTGCTTTGAAATCTTTAGGAAGTTACTAAATACCATAGTTGAAAAAAGGTCAATAATTACAATGGCTGAAATGGTGTAATAACAACCACCAATATGAGGACACCAGTTCAAATAGATTAATATATAATCTTCATATAAGTATTTCCAGACTAATTCAATTCTCAAAGGTGGAATGAATGATAGCAAAGAATAAAACATTTAATGAATACCAATATAATTAATCTTTAAAAAACATGATTTTTGCCATGTTTGGTTGGTTGCTTTTGTTTAGGAGCATATCAACTTATTTAATGCTGAAATCTAAATATTTTGTACGCAATTCTATTTTTTCTTTGGAAATAATAATGGTTTTAGTGATACAAGTCTTATTAATTAACCCATAGCTGGAGGGGGGGAGAGAAGAGGTGGATTCATACCTTTCCCCAAAGGTGTTTGTGTGTAAATGAATATAACAAACCCAACCAAAATTGGAACCTAGCTCTTTGATTAATATTTCTGAGCTATTATTCATTAAACCACCTGCACATTGAAGCTTACATCACCTGTTCTTCCCAAGCAATAATCCATCTCAGTACTGGCCATGCTTGACATTGCTTAATTTCAGTGATCATACAGGAACTGATGTTTCAATGTGAGGTGGCCATAAACCTTGTCATTATTGTACAATTATGAGAACAAGAGAGTCTCATTAACAAACTATCAAGAAAAATACCTCATATAGTCTTATTTATTTTTAAATCATTCATGTCTGAATGGCAAAAGTGACTAATATTAATTAACAAAGATTATAGTCTGTCAATTAGTTTAAGTTAAATCAATGAGGGACATCAATATTTCATTTGTATATTGGTACATTCTCAAGTTATAGCAAAATAATTGTATTTTTTTACATATCCCAGTATCACTTAAAACTTAAATTTTAAATAAAATTGAATATGTAGTGCAATAATTTTTTTACTTATTTTTATGATGTCTTTCATAGAGATTTAATTAAAAATAACATCAGTTATCTTTTGAGTTGATGATATGGAAATTGACTATTTTCAAAGTCATTGGGAATAGACAAAAAAAAAAGAAAAAGGTTTTTAAGTCTGGCAACACCCAAATGTGCCTGCAAGTTTCACACACTTACAGTCCAAGAGTGATTAAATGCTCCCTCTACTAGGTAGCACTGTATTTCAATACATAATATTAAAACTCATTACATGATCACAACTAGCAGTGCCAAAAGTCTAAAATTTTTTTGTAAAAGTTATAGAATTCCAAAATCATATCTCATAACCAGTAATACCAAGGAGGTTAAATTTGGTATAATTTGATTGAGAAATCAATTTACTTTCATATAAAATCAATTTGTAACACTTGATTTTTCAATGGTTTTTGAGATATATCAACTTAATTGTACTAACGTCATATATTCAGATTTTTCAACAATTCAGTCATGACTGAAATATTTTATGGACAGAGAGGGTTAAAATTGTAAAAAAAAATAATTCTAATCTATTATTCCTGCTAAAATAAAAATTGATTTATTATAAAATTATTATAAAATAAAAATTATAATAAATCATAATATCAGTTTTAAAAGATTCTTAGCAAATTTGGACAGGAAATAAATAAATTTACCTTTGAACTCTGTAAACTCTAGTCCAGGGTGGAATAAGTGCAAGAATACGAGCCACAAGGTCAACCAAAGTGCTGGGTGGGTAGCTCTTATAACGGCCTGTTTTCCAAAGCTCATATAACCCTGTAATTATGGTAAATAATAAACATGCATATCAAGAAGGAAAAGATATGTTATAAATACATAAAGGTATGTGATATTTAAATAATGCTATCTCTAAAAGTTTTGTAAAATATATTTCCTTATTACCTGATCTATTTATCTGACAGAAGTCAGTCAGTCTATCAATTTTTAATAGACTACAAAATTGGTGAAACTGAAAATGCCACCAAATATTAGGAATGTGCAAAATTTCTCAGCACTCTCTTTTTTTGAAAATTAAAGACTGATTACACAGTAAAAAAAAACATGCAAAAAACTTTTACTTAGACATATTTCTTTTCAGATCTGGTAATGCAATGTTTTTGCATTCTTCAAGTGTATATGTCCAATGATAATTATATCCACAAAAAAAGAGTATTAAAAGAAGCAATATCCTGAGTTGTAATCATCTAATAAGGAATTATAAAGCTACTGAATATAACTTGAGGATTATCTAAAAGTCATGAATCTCTTTCTTTAGAACTAACTACAAAAGAAAATGTTTGTCAGTGTATCACTTAAACTATATTAAAATATTTTTCAATTTTTACAAGATTAGTTAATATCTTCATTAAGGAACAACAAATATTTAAAAAGAAAAAGGTACACAAATTTTTGCTTGTATGTTTTCAGAAGGTTAAAGAAAGGGTAATTTTTTTTAAGAAAAAAAATTGTTTGAAAAAGACAGTCAAACTAAACTACATCATCTTTTGCATAGTGATAAATAAAAATGTCAGTTAAAAGTTTAATCTTTATTATGAAAAGAATTATCTTCATATTTTCATGTAGTAAAATTTTGTTTGGTTAAGTATATTTAATATACAAGAAACCTTGCTCATTGTTAAAAATTAGGTTTGTTAATTTTACATAAGCTGTCAATAAAAAGATTGATCTCTATAAGATCAAGATGCCTGTTAAAGGCTTTTAATCAAAATTCAAATTTAACATGATGTATATTTTAAAATTCTTATCAGAAAAAACAATCCCCACTTTTAATCATATAATTATACCAACCAGTTCCTCTTATCACCAAAGTTGGATAAAGTTTCAAACCATCAGGTCGAAAAGCAGGATTTTCAAAGAATTCCTGAATTTGAAAAAGCAAAAAGTATTTTAATAAAAGGTATGTTTTAAATATATAATAGTAATAAATACTTATAGCAATGTGATCATTGTAAAACATATTCAGCCAAAAACTGTATCTTTACACAGGGTTCCCACAGATCTGTATAAAAAAAAATTCAAGGACTTTTCCAGGATTATATTAAGAATTTTTAAGGATTGAAACTGGCACACACACACGTTCATCAATTTCAGAAGCACAAACTTTGTGCTTTATCTTTTAATAGTTAGATGAGATGTTCAAAGAAAAGCTACAGCTGGTTCCAATAATTCATGTCACATGGATCAGTTGAACGCAGTGAAGAAATCAAAGTGTTGAAGACAAAACTGAATGCAGACCTGGTTATGTTACACATTTTGTGTAGCAGTCTACACAGTTTGGAGTTCTACGACACTTAAAAAATTTGAATTACACTCTTTAATTCTTACTGCTACACAATTCAGCTATCTAGACTATTCATGGTTTGTGAATGTCACAAAAATTCTTGGCTGCTGCACATTTCCTGTGAAGTATAATGGTTTTAATGAACAGAACTACAAATAGATATTTTCACAAAATGACTATACATTTTAGCTATCCCTACTACTCATGGCTTTTGTTGCACATGGCACAGAACACAATGATGTTAACATTTTTTTTTCAGTTCATCTAGTTTAGCATTCAGCTCCTTTTCCAATTTTGATATCCCTATGGATTTTTCCTTTGCATAGCTTCTGGATTTGTTTTTGTCCAGTTTCTTCTTCCTGCCTTTTTCTTCTCAGCCTCAAGGTATTGGTTGTATGCTGTTCTGGCATTGGAAGCACTGCAGAGAACAGCCTTAGTCATGGGAAAATTCCCAGCACCATTTCTGTGCAACCAGAACCTACTGTTTCATATTGTCAGTGGAAATTTCTTTATTGACTGAGAAACCTCTCTCCACTGAGGCCTGTCCATGAGACAGTACCAGCAATCTGGGAACAACTTTCCACAGTTTTTTTTATATTCTATGTTGCTCGAAAAAGAAAAGTAGACAGTCTTCATGTTTGCTGAAATTCTTGAAAGCAATATTTCCAGCAGCCTCCTCCTTGAACTCTTTGTACTGACTGATGATGTCATCACAATCAGACTTGCTGACTTGTTTTCTGTCCATCATGTGGGAAAGACATCTTTTTAGACTGTCTTCTGTGGCAAATTTTCATAAATGGATCCACGATTCAGCCATGTAAGTGACCTTACAAGAGGGTATCTAAGGGGAGACTTTGCCAAAAGTTTCTCAATGATGACGATGAACATTGTCTTTGTTGCAATTCTGCATGCAAACAGATCTTTTGTTGACATTTTCTTTTTTAGATAAATTTTGCATAGCTCTATCTGCCATAAATCCACACTCAATTGTTGCAGCATCTTTCTTTATGCATGTTTGGGTTTGACAAAATTCTTAAAAATTCATTCAGTTTGAAAAATGTAAATATCTTTTTAGTGTGCTCTTATTTTACAAATCTTAACAGTTCCATGATCATGCTAAAAAGATCATCTGCAAGGAAAGAAATCAGTTTATTACTATTTTATCAGAAACAGTTCAATGTCTTTCCAAACAGACATAAAAACTTGCAGTTTAACTGGAAATAAAATGTCATTTATGATTGACAGCACTGCAGAGGACTTGATCTGGGGACATTTTTGTTTTTTTTAATTAGGTTCACAAACTTGATAACATCTGGCCAAATGTCTAGGAGACCTTCACATGTCTGTACATTTTCTAGCCATTTATGGTAGAAATACAAAAGTAAAGGGACAGAGTTGCCAGATTGAACTTTTAATATAAAGCTAACCAATAAAAGCCAAATAAGTTTTAATATATTTCATCATTTTTTCATACTTACCAAAAAAGCTAGAGATACAGGTCATTATTAGCCTGCAAACTTTAAAAATAACATTCTTCTTTCTTTTTCAAAGACGCATTTTCTATCCTATTCTAAGACACATCAAAGGCACATTTTCTATTCTATCATCCTTCCCATCTACATTTTCTTTGTGTCAAATTTGATTCTCAAAATTGTTACTTTTGGCAACAATTTAGAAAAACATAGTTTACACACTGTCACAGGACATGTAAAGTATCTAATTTTTCAGCATGAACTCACCCACTGTTGACTAGAGATCAAAAGGACTTTTTATTTTTGAAATTGACAAGTGAATAAAATGCCTTCAATTGTTCAAATTTTTTCAATTTTTCTTTTTTTGGAAAAGGCCCTCTCAATTTTCCAGGACTTTTGAAGGTTTCCAGGAGCTCTACAAACACTGTAGAATCATTAACATGTTTTTCAAAAGTATAGTTTAATTAACAACTGCATTTATTAATGATCTAAAACAAAATAAGTAATTACAGAATAAGCTTTGATGACTGCTTTCAAATATATATCTTTAGAAGTTCTAGTTACAAATGACATTTTTTGTCCCAGCATGGTTTTTATATTAAAGATATTTACATAATTATAACCAAATAACTTATTTTCTTAAAATATTTTGAAACGTCATAATCATATTATAATTCTGCTTGTCTCTCCCTTAGTTAGCATGTGTGTTGGACCTGCCATTATTTCATGCAAATAATGACCCATTCCATTTTGATTGTGAGAAAAGATGGAAGAAAAATTTATGTCAGAGAGTGTTGGTTTTAGAAGAGAAAGAAAAGAAAGAACACTTATTTTGATAACTATAAGATTGTTGGAGATTGTTAAAAAAAAGAAGATATATTTCATTACTAAAATTCCTATAAAATATTTATTAAATTAAAGAAATATATTATATTCCCTGTCACTGCCTGAAATGGAGATTTCTATTTTGATTGTGAGAAAAGATGGAAGAAAAAATATATCAAAGAAACTGTCGGTTTTAGTAAGGAAAAGAAAGGATAGATAATAATAAAAAAGAAAAGGAAGCTAGAGAAAGCAATAACACTATAAGGTGCCCAATGTCTGCTTCAGTGAAATGTAATTAAGGAATAAAAATTGCAGAGAAATAAAAAGGAATGGAAGTGGGAGGAAAGAAAGAAACAATTATATTATTTTTGTTTTTTATAATTCTTTGTATCTAATGTATTATTTTTAATAATAATCCAGTTTTATTTCATTGAAATTATAAGAAATGTATTCAATCATTAAATTAAGGATTATGACTCAGAGAATTCAAAACAGGAAAACTATAAAGCTTTCATGGATACTACTAGTATAAACACTATCTCTAAGAATGAAAAATAAACTTTCATAAGCCAGTTTTTTGGTGTTGAAAACAAGTCATGTAAAGCAACAAGTGAAAAACCAAACAAATTATTTTTGCCATTTTTAGATTATGAAAGAAGATAAATAGCAATTAGTGTCAGCCATATTTTCTTTTTATACTGACAAAATTTCATTAGTTTTAACAAATAGTGTGCAGGAAGATTAGCATTTTGATGCTTCATGATGAATCTAGTTGAGATGGTAACTGTAAATGTAGAGATATAAAAAGAGAAAATATTATATTTGGTGAGAATTCTGTGAAAATAAATGCTGCTAATCTAGCAGCAATTATTTTTTGGTTGGCATCATTAGCAATGGAAATTCAATAACTATATAACATGTTTTCAAAAGAAACAGTTTTAAAATAATAAGTATGATAAGAACTAAATAGGAATTAAAAACAAATATCATAAAAAAAAATTTAAATTCCAAGTATTGAGAGTACAAAAAATATATGTTAGAAAATAAAAACTAACTCCTTTTGTAAAGAAAAATAAAAGACAAACTCAAGATAGCATCATCTAAAATATAAATTAGTTCATAATTTCTCTTTTCTATTTTATTCTTCAAAATATTTGTAGGCGTTCTGAAAGCAAAGGAAATATTTGTCGCAGATTACTTCCACAATGCAGGGAACAAATCACTGTAAGTTCAGACTCAATTATCGGGGGCAGAAAGAAATGCTGAAAACTTGATTTGCAGATACTATCTCACAAATCCCAATGCACGTAACCATTCAGAAATATAACTCACTCTCCAACGAACGCGGTAGCCAAAATACACCAATTTTTCCTCTCTGATTCGAGAACACCAACTGCTTTTATCAGCCAAGCATTTTTTCCATTCGTTGACAACTGGGAGAGGACGCCCAATTTTTGCATATCAAAATACTGTACACAGTGACTCCTGCAACAGACTTGTTTTTAATTTACATATTCCGTCTTCAGCATGTCATGTGGAATACGTGCCCATTTTTTTGATAAGTAATTTTCTTTTTCACCACATTTTCCGTCGTTGGATACACGCAATGTGCTGTCGCTTGGTTTGATGAGGTAAGTCGCCATTTTCTTCACTATAATATTACAACTGGTTGCTAAAATCTGAAATTACTTATGACTCAACCTAATAGTTTATCAAAACAATTAGGATAAACAGTACAAACTAATAATTTGGTGACTTAATAATTGTAACAGCAATCCCTGAGCCATGTAGTGCAGACTTAAACTCAGTAGAGACAGGGTAAGCAATACTAAAATAAGAACTAGACAAGATAACCTTAGACATGATCAGTGGAATAAGAACAATGTATGCCCATAGATTAAATAGAGGGTTCAGTTCCAAATTCCCTAAAAATTACCAGAATTGACAACCACCTAATGAAGGCTAGAAAGCACAATGGCTGAAACATTGTAATAACAACAAAGATGAAGACAATAGTCTAAGTGTAAATAATAACTCATCATCCCAGAAATTCAGATGGAAAGTAGTTTGACTTGTCATATAATCTTTGAAAGCTCAATAAAACTTTGAATCAAATCATCTCAAAAGTAACTCACAAAGTATTGAGGTCCATGCAACAAATTGTGAGCTTCAAGTCAATTGATACTATATCCAAATGCCAACAACAATAGCAGACTTCATGTAATAGGTACCTTCATATAGTCTTGTAGCCTGTAAAAGTTTCTAGCTGGAGCTACTGTCTCAATGCAGAAATTGCTAGATATTGTAATGTTTCTTTGTTGATAACATCACCATATCTTATGAGAAATCAAATAAGGCTAGATATACTAAGAAATGTCATTTTGTATAGACAAGAACATAATGGAAAATTTCAGTGTTAATTGCTTTATTAAAAATCTGTACTTACAATGAATTGTTCTATGTCTCTGTCAAGGCCAACATTTGGAAGATCAGGCATCATATGTGACACAACTTTGAAACCAGCATCTTTTGACATGTGGAAAGATTCACAAACTGCCTTTACTGTGTGGCCTCTGCAAATATAAGATTTATAGAAAATAATATTAAATCTATGCACTTAAAAAACGCTAAAATATATAAATTTTACCTGCTTAGTGTAATTATATTTAATTTTAACAAGTTTGAATATTGATTTCTACAATGATCCTCTTGGTTTATCTATACTGGATCTTATTTTTCTTTTTTCATATGGATTGTCTAATTTCTTTTACTATTATGAGAGGTTGCCAGCTGAAAAGTTCTGAGCTTGACCCAGTGCCCTAAATCCAAGTAAATTACCAAACATCTGATATTGTTTTGGAAGGGCAACTTGGTCAGGTAGAGAACTTTTTAGTAACCCACTGTAAGTAACATTTGAGCTCTTAAGGAATGATATGTTAAAATTTTGAAAGTATAACATCTCAATTGTAATTGAAGAAAACAAAAATATCAATTATATCTTGGAAAAACAGAAAAAGGTGAAAACTAAAAGAATTTTAAAATTATAGACCATGTCATATCATTATCAATTCTAATGCTAAATCTTTTGAATAAACTTTGAATTAAGTGGGAGATTAAGAGTTTTTCATTAAAATCAAATTTGTATCTCATTATATATTGAAATTATAAAAAAAAGTCCATAATTGATTTTTATAAGTTGTTACCTGTTTGTATCTCTGGCAACATCTTCATATACACTTTGTACACCAATTTCAAGTCGTGTGCAACCATAAGATAACATATCACTACAAGAAATTAAAGTAATATATAAATAAAAGAATATACAAACACAAAGTTAATCTTTTACAAAACAACACACTCATTGCATTAATCATAAGCCTGAATGTAATTTCAACTGAATGCAGTTTTAATTAAAGAAGAGAGTAATTTATTAATGTGAAAATTTATAGAAAGTGCATTATTTTCTGAATTTTCTATAGTAAATTTATATCCAGGTTCATAGAATAGGTCACCTTTCTTAATAAAACTACTGGTAATACAATGTGGGATATTTAAATACAATTTCAATAAAAATGGAAGCAGTAAAAACTTGATTGAAATTAGCCGCTCGAGCATTTAGGCACAACGGATGCCCATCAATAAAACCATTATTTAGTTTGAAGAAGTCCTTTTGAAGGATGAAATGTGTCACATAGGATGTTTTCCATTTTGTCATTTAATTGTCTGATATATACAGTTTATATGTCATATTTCCCCATATAAAACTTGAAAATGTAATTTGAAAAATTTAATGAAAGCATAGTTGATTTCAATCAGACATATTCTTACCTGAGGTGTTTTCGTAGGCAATAGTCAGGTCTTGTTTCAATCGTGATTCCTATACATTTTGTTCGACTTTTCTCTGAATATCTGCAGAAATGAAACAAAATAATTATTAAGAGAGCAAAACAATATTGTGTTTAATTATTATTTGATTATGCAAAAAAAATTATTGTCCTCATTATTTGAAGTACATTTTTTATCCTTTGAAAAGAAAAATTAATTTTTAATTAAACTTCATAATTTGAAAAGTGAGTGTTTACAAGTTTATATTTTTTTAAGGCTTGTCCCATCAGGAGATAATTAATCATGATGCTCCACAAATTTCTTTTCTTTATTATCTATGAATTGCTGTCACTTCTTGGGAAAGATACTGGAGTGAGTCCCTATTATTTTCTCTATGGTTGTGAATTTTGAAATTGTCCTTTTCTTAGACAGACTATTACCCAAGAGATCCCAGTCTACCCTGCTAATTAACCAATAGTTGGCAGTTAAGAAGACAGAAATCCATGCCATTTCCAAGAATATTAGTGTGAAAGTGAATGCTGTACACTAAGCCAGAATTTGAACCTATCCCACTTTCCATGCCAATAACTGTTATGCTACCTACACATAGATGTTTATAGATGTATTAGTAATTGGCTGTACATGTTACTGTACTTTTATCCTTTTTTCCTACCTGTTATTCATTGTATTTTTCAGTTGCTTTATGTATTTGTTGTAAAGTAGTTTTCACAGTGGAGGCTTGTATTTCACTAAGTCGGTCCTAAAAGGGTCCGATGTACAAAACGTTAGGAACTTGCAATAATAGTTAATGACGCAGCAATCTAGTTGTGGTGGATTGATACTTCAATGTCTGACATCGACTGACTTACTCGACTCCACTGAGCCCAACTGGCGACTGCTACTACTACTACTACTTATTATGTGTGGGACAGTCTATTACAATAGAATAGGTAATGTTCTGGTATAACAGTATTACATGTGTATTTTGTTTTATTGAACAAAATAAAAGATTTATGTACATAATGTTTTAAAGCATTGGAATCTTTCACTGCTGTAAACTTTTTTATGATTGTTTTCCACTCTAAAAATTTGTGTTCAATAGAAACAGTTTAAGAAACTCCTAAGAAGAATCAGCAAAGTGGTTTTAATTCCTTGTACATAGAAATATGAACTGTGACAGAAAAGTTACAAATTAGCACTTTCACTGATGCATTGTTATCACATTGTTTCCTGTCTGTGCTGGCACATTTTGGGAAAATTAGAAAATTGCCATTTATTAGAAATATATAGCTATAAAGACACCGATAGAAATTTTATATGGATGTCACCATTTTGGTTTCAACATGATACTCTGCAGTATAGACTAAGCTAAACAACACCCCCAACATGCAATATAATAAAAAGAGATCACATGTCATATTGTATCCTAAAATATGTCTATGCTGCTTTGGAAATAACACTAAATATTAATTAGTCTTTAATGCAAATGCTAAGGATCAACATTTCATGGTGTCTTAAAAATGTGTGTGTGTGTGTGTGTGTGTGTGTATATATATATATATATATGTATATATATATATCTATCTACAGCAGGCAATATAAGTTTTGTAATGCTAGATAAGTATGTAAACATACAATCTGACCCTTGCTCAAGGTTTCCACTGACTGGCCAATGATTACCCCCATGTATTTTGATTCTTGATCTTGTTGGTGTGTTCCAAAAGCTGGGAAAGGGCCCACTGCATGCTCACAAGGTAACAAGATGAAAGACAAATGTCATGTTGAGTAATGATAAACCCTGTTTCCCATATTATAAAATAGAAGTTTTATTCAGTGCATCACCTGCTTGCCTAGGTATGTGATCTTAGACCACTTCTGCTATGTTGAGCTATTAAGCTCAGCTCTTCTCTCCTAACAATTCCTCATCACCTACTCATTCTGATATAGTGGCTGACAATTTGATTGAGTGATTTGTTTAACGGTATATTAACTCCTTATGGGTCATTTAATGCCAAAATTTAATTTTCTTGGTAGCTTTGAAGTAATATGATATATATTATTCTGCTTTCATAATTGAATACATGGTAGATGATACTCAGCTTTTTTGCATATACATGTTTGTGTGGACATAATTGCTAAAGGCAGTGATATGTGTGTTTTATTTTATAGTTTTATTGAAGTTATATTTTGAAATACATTGTGATTTCTTTAAGAAATTGTATGATTTGGCAATATGAATAGGTAGCATTGGAACTATGTGACAGACAAGTCTGTCTCCCACCAAGGGTGAACCAGAACTGACTGATTCCAAACATGACTGTTAATATAGACCAGCACCTGGATACACCCTATTTTCAGTTTTGTTGTCACTTGACCTCCAAAAACCTCTCATCTACTCCTTTACTTCCCCTTAGATCAAATTAGGAGACTGAACATCAAAAGCAACCATCTGCTGGTCATCAAGCAAAAGCACTTGAGATAAAGATAAAAACCACCTCTTCCCTTTCTATGTGGTTGTCCATAGTAATAAAGTACATCCACAGCAGCAAGTGTTGATGTTTGTACTTAATTATAAAATAAATTATAAACCACTGAGTAGCTTGTGATAAATGACAAAGCACAAAAGCTAATTCAATGCTGAGTATCTTCCATAAAAGTTTAAAGTTAAATTTTTTATACTGATAAAAAAAAGTATCATAAATAAACAAACAATAGCTGATAATAAAAGAAAACAACAACTTACTTGACAGCTTCTTCAACAGAACTGCTGGTCTGCCCAGATAAAGCATCATGAAGATTCCGAATGAAAAAGTCTCTGTATTCTTCTGAGAGACACATGAATGTACCTCCCATTACAATGAATTCGACTTTATCCACACTATGACCAAGTTGTTTCAACTGTATAACAAATAATGGAAGCCAGAGAAAAAAAATTATTTGCTTTTTTGATAAATGTTTCAGTTACTTTAGGTAATTTTTTAAAAATGTTTATTGATAATTGATCCATCCTCAATTTTGATTTTGATAAATGTTTTCATTTTGAGATATTTCAATAATAACAGAATGTGTTATTTCAAATTCTTATATACTACTTTAAAAATCAATTAAACTTTTCTATTTATATCAAATATAAACACTGAGCCAATCTTGTTCATGAAAGTACACACACCTATCGACTGAATTAATTATTTGGAAAATAATTAAATTTGACTAATGATTATCAGAATGAATGGTTAAATGAGAACCAAACACAGATCCTTCACTTTCCCTGTGTTGATTATAACAAGTTAGGTAAGATTACAGATTGAAACTGCTAACCACAACTTCATCTCTTCTCTTTTCCTGACATTCAACCCATGCAGCCACCAAGAAGATATGGAATAGGAAAGCCAAGTTCAAATTTCAGTCAAATTCATTACATTCACTTATATGCTAATAACCTTGTGAAAAATATGAATCCATCTCTTCTCCCCACATATCCCAGCTGTGGATAAATAGCAGGATAGACAGGGTTCTATAGCCTTAGGTGGCAACTGGTTTAAGAGAAGGAAAACTCTGGATTTAAAACTATGTGTAACCCTGGTGAAGCACATAACATGCAGCTAAGGAAAGAATTGTTTGCATTGTCTTGATGATCCAACTGCAGTCAATTGCTGTGTGCTGAATTTTTAAAGGAAAGCAATCAGTATTTAAGCAATAGCTTATTCTCCTAAAACTTCAAAGTTATTTTTAGTAATGAAAATTACTTTTATGCTCATTAGTGAAAAGCCATTTAAAACAAACTGAATTCACTAACTCTAAATAACAAATGTAATTTAAAATTTACCATTTCTGATATAAAAACTTTTAAATGTTATCAATGTAACAAGGCGATGGTCTTGGAAGTTTTATTGGTACATGAAAGTTTCAAATGGTGACTTCTGGCAGTGAAAGGGTTAAGTTAACAGATTAAGAAAAATGCTAATTAAAACATGGAACAATGGGAGGTTAAAAGAAAGAAAAAAATTATTTAACCATAAAATGAAGATTAGCGAGAGTGTCAGAATGGCTTGAAACTGAAACTATAGGTTTACATCACTAGAAGTACATTTTGGGCAACCCAAAGGGTTAAACATTTATCAAATTGGAATGTATCAGCTAAAAATTGGCTGAGAAGCTAAAATATATTTGTCTCCACCGTTTAGCAGAATATAGCAAAACCAAAAAAAGGGCCCAGTTGTTTGTAGTAGTTGCTGATAAAATTAAAATCTGAACCACCAGAGGCAGCCAAGAGTTGCAGTCAAAGTTAGTAGTATGAATGAGTGGAAGCCAGCTATCAGTAATAGTAGTAGCTGACGGCAGACAGCTTTTTGGAATTGAAAAGTCATGGAATGCTCAAAGTAATATTAAGATTTAATGATTGCGAGAACTCCCTTATAATGATTATTATCATATGTGAATATAGCTGAAGAAAATATACACTAAAAGGTTGTCCCAAATCATCTAAAGTTTTAATGCTTTTATATTCTTTTTATTAACTTTTCTGTCTATTCACCAAGAAGTAAAATTCCTTTAATCATACTCTGGAGTTGGTCATTATTTCTGATGAATGAATCCAGTTTGATTTGCAGTGAAGCAGGAAAAAGAAAACCATGGTTTAACAAGATTCTTTAAGTGTTATTAGGTACACAACCACTCCTCTTAAATATATGTGGTGGTGCAGAATGATTAATAATTCTCAAAGGCAGAAAAGTAACTCTCACACTAATATAAAAAAATCATCCCACAGCCATTCATCCATTTATATATGACACAGTGATGTCAAGATTGAGGCCCTAAGAAACCACACCTCTTTATATTAACCAGTTTTTAAAATCTGAGAACAAATGTATACAAAGTCAAGCTTAGTTCTTCTCAATAAACATCAAATAACTGAAAATTTATCACAGAATATAAGAGATTTAATATTCAAGCTGAAATGTGCTTTTCTAACTGTAAAATTTCCTGCTTAGAAGTGCTTGACTGAATAACACAAAACAGATATTCATATAAAAATAATTGCTAAATAAAGCTGAGTGATATCCTTTTCTTAAAAGCTCTTGAATAATTCAAAAGTTTTATCTTGTATGTTTTTTTTTCACAAAACAAAATAATTCAAATACTATTCAAATAAGTATTTCTTTTTTAAGTTACCAGATAATTAGTTCTGCACACTGACATAAACAGCTGCAGGTGGAAAATGCTAAATAGTACAATTTCCAAAGCTAAAGAAATATTTTTTGAAAATCTTAGATCTTGTTAGACACTTATTTAACACAATTTGAAAAATAGACAAAACTATATTCATTTGTTTTTTAAATTCTTATAGGTTTTTAAAAAACACATTTGATAATCTACCTGAATTAGTAATCCACATCATGTTTATGATTACATTTTCCTATCGCCAATTTGGATTGAATTAAACTCATTATGTGCTTTTGGTATCATGTACATCAATCAATAATTAAAACTATAACTTCTTACCTGTTCAATTCTGTGTCTGGTTTGTAAATAAGGATTGTATCTGGCTCGAATTGCTCGCATTGATGTTGGCTATAAGAGACAAAAACATTAAATCTCAAAAAGACAAAAGAAGTACTTCCATGAACAGAGACAACTTTTAGGTTATTTCTCTAATAGACAACCTAGTATCATTTGATAACTATTCCCTAAGGCTTCATGAAAGATAAAAAAAACAATATAAATTAGAAATAATTTTAAAGAATAAAGATTTCTTAGACAGTTCATTAATTATCTATAATTATTTTTATTTTTGATCAAGTGATGTTTTCTACAGTTTGAATGATTCAATGTTCCAGAATATAGATTAAACATGAAAATTCAAAAAAATTGTGGATTACTATTAATAAAACTGCAACCTGTTTCATTTTATTTTTTTTAAATTCAATTTTTACTGTTAGTTTTCATGATTGAGCTTGTTTACATATTTAATGTTTATAGATGGACATAACTCAAAATGATTAATTTACTGTCAGCTGATATAATTATTTAGATTTTAGTAACAATAATGAGTTAGCACATTTATTCAGTGAAATTCAGTTTTATATTATTTTACCTGCAAATCCCAACTAAAACTTTATTTGGTGATATGTTAAATATGCTGACACATATTGAAACAGAAAAATCTTTACTACTTTGAGATGCTACTGCTTTATTTTTTTAATTCTTTCTTATGAGATCAACAGTCTGGTACAAAAGTTTCTTTAAACATAAAGAGTACTGTTTGATCTGGTTTCAGTCTATCAAATACTGTAAGTTTCTAGTGATTAGGTGAAGCGAGTGAAATAACTCAAAATAGAGTTTTTTTATGAATAAATTATCTGCTTTCCTATTCAGACCAACATGCTCATCTTGTTTGTTATATTCACATTTCAGCCATTGTACATTCTGACCATCTTCAGGTGTACTCAGCAACTTTCTTGGAATCTTTGAACCAAACCCTTTATTCAGTCCACAGGGGGAGATTGTTCTCGTTTTGCTTTCCATCAGATATCAGTTTATTCTTTCTAATCTATTTACGTTAGCATCGTTTATCTGTTTCTTTCACTAAACAAAGTATATATCTTTTCCACACTAGTCAACCTAGGGATTAAACTCACCACTGCCAAGAAATCAGATATGCTTTAATCAACTTGAAGAAGACCTACATCCAAAAGATTGAGTATAGCTACCAAGACCCTAGTCTAAATAAGAAAGCATATACTAAATTTAGAAATGATATTTTTTGCCATTTCAAACATTTCAATATAAATGTATACATAAAACAAAACTGAATGAAAGCTGAAAGTTGAATGAAGATATAAAGCAGCAACTTAAAAAAAATACCCTCTGGTTAATGTGGTATATAAAGCACTTATGAATGTGGCTTTGAGAAAAGTTATTGTTCCAATTTTTGCTTGGACAATCTAACCTGTAACTATTTTTCTGGAGAAACAAAGCTTTCCTCTTTCATTGCAGATAGTGCAATTTCCATATGCTTAAGAATGTATCAACAGAAACATTGTGTTAACAACTTAAAGAAGGAATTCAAGTGTATGAAGAACATTTGAAATATTCTGTTTTGTTTACTTGATTAGTAATGCCAATCTTCTCTTATTTTCAAAGCAAGCCAATAAACTGTCTTATCTACACAACATAAAGCCATTTCTAGTAATATCTGCTTTATGCAATTAGCAATTAATTTAATTCTATTATACACTTATAATATGGTTACAATTTTTTCATATTCTATTCTTGTTGATATATTTTGTAACTGTCAGCACTCTTTTCATTCAAAGATTTAAGAAAAAAATTTACTAGGTATAATCAAACTCATGCTTTTTCTCCAGTGTTCTATAAATTTTCATTTTCAATGATAAATTGATATTACATAAATCAAGTAATAAGCTCAGAAAATATCATTTCAGGTAAGCAATTTCCATTTACCTCATAACCAGTGTATGATTGTGTAGAATATTCAAAATCTGAATCTGGACCCCCAGGACAATACCTACAAAAAGAAATAAAAAATACAAAACAATAATATTATGTTCAAACATAAAGAAATTAATTTTACCACTGCCTAGATTAAGAACATCTAAAAGAAAGAGATAAAAAAATGTAACTACAAAAATATTCCTTGATCAGACTATTTAATATCGGTGAATGTTTTGAGGAATCTTCAATATCTTGAACTTATTAGAATTGCTGACAATAGTTAGATGAAGTGAAACAAGTGACAATTATAGAGAATATATTGTATACAGAAGAACTTCCTATACCAGTTTCATGATTGTTTGCTGCATCAAATTTGCAATATGAAGATGGATACTGTCATGTAGCAGAATCAACAGTCAAGTTTACTGCCAAGAAAAATGTGTTTTCTATTCCAAGGCATTTTTTAAATGAGATGATCATGATAAATAAATACTTTTGTACACTTAGTTATTTCACTGGAAAGTAAAGCAGGTTAATGTGAAATTTTTTAAGAAAAGTTTACTCTTCTATCATGAAATCTAAGAAATCATTGATGAAAATTTACTTTAAAAAGAACAGAAATGAAGATACCAATCCATAAAACACATACACACAAATATTTCCTGTCATAGCAATATGAGGACATCGATGAGGTTTGCACATAACAGCAACAACTGCAATCTGTAAAAGAAAAATAAATTGATAAATAAAGCATCTTTTTTTTTTAAAAAAAAAAGTTCACAAGCATTCTTTCTTATTTGGCTTCATATTAAAAACCCCGACTTTTCAGCTTTAAATAATATTTTTCTAACTTATAAAATACAATTATATAACATTTTTATCAAAGTATAAAATCAGAACCCACTCACATGGTAACATTAACAGACTATTAGAAATAGATTTTTTTTTTTTTTTTTTTTTTTTTTTATTCGGGAAAAAATTATATGCTACAAATTAAAATTTATCTTATAGTTTTCCAATTTGAAGAAAAATAAATCTATTTTATAGTGAGTTATTAAAAGTTAAAGATTTAAATTTACTAATAATTTTCTAATGTAGACAAACTTTATGTATGTTGTATTATAAACAATTTACATTCAATTATCAAACAATCTTTCATCAAAATTTATAGGCTAAATGAAATAATTTATATCCCTATACATCGATTCTTAAAACTTCATCTTGAAGAAGAATCCAAAGGTCTTCACAACTTATGAGAAATTATTAAATTTCAATATATAGCAACATACTTACACCACTAGCTGTACGGACAGGTTTAGCCTTCAGCTTAGGAACAAGGGCCTATTTAAATGAAAAAAAGTACAATATATTAGCAAATACATCACAAAGATATATCTAAAAATATAATCTGTGTGATTCAGATTGCAAGAGAAACAACAGTGCAGAGAAGTAGAATATATAAGGAATATTGAAACTTATAGCAAAAAAACTTAATGAAAAAAAGAAAGGTTCTATTCAACACATTTATTCATGATGCCCAGCTAGTTAGGTATAATCTTATAAGCTCTAATCACCTAATACATTTGACTATAATATGCAATATATATAATATATACATCAGCTCTAATTACCTAATACATTTAATTGTAATATGTAATATATACATCAACTCTATCACCTAATACATTTGACTATAATATGCAATATATGTAATATACAGTGGGGGAAATAAATATTCGTACACATGAAAAATTGTATTTTTATAAATGTAAAAGCCTTAACTAAAACAAATTTTGATACATTTTATGTGTAAAGATACATCTTATTAAAAAATAGTAATAAACCTAATTAATTCTTATTCTAACAGAAATTAATGCATTTTTTTCATTTTAACTGATGAAAAAAGTATTCGTACAAAACAAAAAAAGCATATTAACTTAATTTAATACTTTGTGGAATATCCTTTATTGAGTTCAACAGCTACCGGGCTATTCCTGTATGTCTCAACTAATGACTTGCACACATTGAGTGGTATATTGTCCCATTCTTCTTGGCATATTGTCTTCAAATTCTGGATATTTGTTGGTGCACTTTTTCCAATTTGAATTTTCAAATATCACCATAAATTCTCGATTGGGTTCAAGTCTGGGGACTGACTTGGCCATTGCAAGACATCAACATTACTTGTAGATCTAGCGGTATGCTTAGGATCATTATCTAGTTGGAAAACCCAATCAGGAGGTAGCCAAAGTCTCTCAACAAAATGCATTAAATTGTCTTGCAGGATTTTCTGGTAAATTTCGGCATTCATCTTGCCATCTATTATTGATGTTCTGCCAACACCTTTTGTGAAAAACAGCCCCAGATCATGATACTGCCACCACAAAACTTTACAGTTAGCAACGTGTTCTTTGGTAAGTAAGCTTCACCGTCCTTCCTCCACACATGATTTCGATAATTATGACCAAACAACTCTATTTTAGTTTCATCTGTCCATATTACTTTTCCCAAAATGAATATTCTTTACCCTTATGCTCTCTAACGAATTTTAGCCTAGCATCTCTGTGTCGTTTCAAGAGGAGTGGAGTCTTCCTTGGGATGCGTGATTTCAGACTGTGTAGTTCATTACTTATTGTACGATTGGTTACTTTAATCCCTAATGCACGCAGATGTTTCTGCAGCTCTTCTCGGGTAACCTGTGGATTTTGTTGGATCTGGCATCCTAATATCCTTTCTGATCTTAGAGAAATCTTCCTCGGAGCACCTGTTCGTCTTTGGTTTTCGACACTGTTACAAGTTTTAAACCTTGCAATGAACGAAGCAATTGTAGTAAAAGGAATATTCAGATTGTTAGAAATTGTTCTGTAACTTTTCCCATCTTTCCAAAGAGACAAAATGTGTTGTTTTTGCGAAATAGTCAATTCTTTACCTTTAGGCATTATTAGAACCTTCTCGTAAGACTAGAAATTGCAGAATGCTCTGATAATGGCTAATAGCATTAACTATAATTAAGAATAACAATACTGGAACATTCTAGAATATACTTTCTTCATAATTAATTGATTATTTTATTCTAATAATTGATTTGTACAAATACTTTTTTCACCAGTTAGAATTTAAAAAAATGCATTAATTTCTGTTAGAATAAGAATTAATTAAGTTTATTATTATTTTTTAATAGTATGTGTCTTTATACATAAAATGTGCCAAGATTTGTTTTATTTAAGGCTTTTACATTTATAAAAATACAATTTTTCAAGTGTACGAATATTTATTTCCACCCACTGTATACATCATATATACCTTATACATTTAATTGTAATATATAATATATGTAATATATACATCAGCTCTAATCACCTAATACATTTGACTATAATATTTTTGTACCATAACAAAGAAGTGATACTCTTCATTATGGTACAAATTAAATATTAGGCTTGATACTCAGAGCTGATTAAGACCATGCCTATGCATAAATGAGTTAAAAAAATATATTGGTTAAATGTACATTAGTAAATACTGGTATAAAGTATAAAAAAAGAATTTAAAAAAAGAACTGAAGAAACCAAAGTTGAAATTAGATCTGTGCAGCATAAATTGTATTAAAAATATGATGAGTAATGTTAATGAATATAATGGTTATATTATATGTATTGTATGAAAAGATTTGCTTTTATATTTCCCACTTTCATTAGTTCAAAACCAGGTAAAAATGTCAGAATTCTGAAAGCTGATTTTCAAGACAGGCTATATTAACTTAAGAGATTGGTGCAATGCAATCCTAATCTCAATTTCCATTCAGTTGACTTTGTGGCAAACTAAAATAAATTACTACCTAGCCAGCTTGTGTAAATGATTGGCAGAACAGGGATGAAGAGAGTGAAAAGACAAAATTTATTAAGAGCTACAAAGGGAAGAAAATTGTGGAGAGATATGATACAGCACATAGAAGAATACACATTGAATGAAAAAATATAAAAAACAGTTTTCCTTATTTATTTATTCAAATAAAACAGAGACATTCTAGTAATTGATCTTCTAGAACCTCTTTTCATTGAAAAATAAAAATACACAAGAACAAATAAACAACTTGTTTAAACAGTATATAAGTGATAGAAATTATTAGTTAAGTAATTCATCAAGTCTAGAAGAAACCTCAACAGAATGCAGAAAGCACTGGACGGCCATTTCGTCCTATATTTGGGACTCATCAGCAGTGCACATCCACTACCGAATCGAAACCTGGACCGTTACGATATGAGGCAAACGTCATACCAACTGTACCAACAGGCCTCGGTGATGAATTAGACTTGATATAACGCCGCTCAGTCACATATTCCATGGTGGAACTCATCTGAGTATCCCTTACCCATAGGACTGTGCCCCCACAAGCCATGACTAATATCCCCAAGTCATTTCAACTGTGGCCTGATGATTGCAGTTTGCATGAAACAGATTTTTTAACTGAAAATTTGCTTTCAAATATTTTACAGCAAATGCTTCTGTGAGGTAAAAATATTAATGCTTCTTATTTCAAGCTGGGTGCAGTAATAAACCTAACTTACATGAGAAAAGATTAAACTGTAATAAAATGGTCTCAATCAAATTATACCTGAAATACATTTCTATCTTTCTATACATATATATACATAAAACACTATTTCTATAATACTGAAACAAGAATTTCCAAATATTAACTTATCAATCTCATAAAAACATTAATTTACCAAATTATAATAAAATCTTGGATAAACAATATACCAACATAAATATTACATATTCATCATAAAACCTTCAGTATTAGTTCAAGTAAACCAATAATTAAGTTTAATATAGTCTTTATTTTCCAAGAAGAGAATAAAAGAGGAAGATATTACAATAAAAATCATTTTTTGACAAGGAGAATTTAAAGTAACTATTAAATCAGCCTAATTATTCTGAAGATTAGAATTCCATTTTCAATTTCTACATCATTAGAAGTAGAAAATTCATGCAGGGAAAAGACACATGTTCATTGTTATGAATTTTCATGAATCCAGTAGAAAGACTCATTCTTTAACTACAAAATGTTCTAAACAGAATAGTCACTTGATTAAAATGGTAATTTTGGTTAATCTGTAAGAAGAGAGGTGTTCAACAGACAGAGTCTTGTTTGTTTCTATATTGTTGGTACATGGTACACATTAAAAAAAAAGAGAATATAGTTTCTATAGAACTCTGACTGATAACTGCATTCACAAAATTATGCAATTGATAAAATCACACCATTAACTGATATCCTAGTAAACAATGTTGTTCTTTTCACTGTCATATTATCTTAGTATAATAAATTCATTCTACTTAGGATTAACCTATTTTTGCAATTTCTGCCTTAATCAAAAGAACTAGATATTAAAAAGTAGAAAGAATAAAGAAAAAAAAGACTATTAAACTATTTAAGGGCTGCATAGAAAGAAAAGAAAAAATGTTTTATCATAATGCTGCAGTTAGAACCAGCATCCAAAAGAGGATTCAAGCCAAAGAATAAATGTTACAATGGTGGTTCCAATTGTTATTGGAATGACTGCAAAAAAAAAAACACCTCCCCAAATTTATAAACTAAACATACAGATGCATGCTGGGATTTCTTTCCAACCATATCCTTTTTGTGTGTTAATACCATTCTTAGTTTGTGAACTTGATGACATATTAGTGAAGTGATGATTGATACTGAGAATTAAACATCCATGAGAGTCATTGGGTAAGTGATATTTGGCATAATGAGCACAAGGTTTCTGGATTAAGACAGTAGTATATTTCTCTTTTGGGGCTTTTGTAGTGTTTTATTTGGTACTGTAACCCACTGATTTTACAAGAATACTCTAATAAAAAGAAATACCAACAATATACAAATGATTTTTTGTTACCTTTTTGTATTGTTGGGGTACAGCAGCAATAATATCCACTAATCTTGGTTGACTAGCAAGGCCATATTTACTTGCTGATTTTCCTTTTATACTGGAAATAATAGAACCAAGAAAACATAAAAGGTGCATTATTACTTCATAAAAACATGTTTTTCATATAAATCTAACAATGTAAAGAAATTTGTTCAGTGTGAGTGTGTGTGTTAACATTTGTGATTTTAACGAGTTTTTGAGACTCTTCTAATAGCATATATCTATAGCTGGCTACTCATATTTGAGCATACCCATCTACTAGGGTGGCTAGCCAATCCCTATTGCAGACGCTTGCTCAGGCGCATTTGTGTTTATTCAACACCCACAGAGCCCACCCTGTGGTTTATACTGCAACTATGCTGAACAGACTTTAGTTACAGTTTCTGGGAAAGAGCGTGTTATCTAGTGTGACCAACAATTTGAACAAGGCCAGCATGCTCAAGCCCTCAGCAACGATGACTTGTGACTTTGTGCTAGCACAGCTATCGATGGTCCTGCTATGTTCCATCTACCCAATTTCACTCACAAGGCTTGGGTTAATCCATGGTATGGTTTTCAGGCACTTTCCAAAGGTGCCACACACTGGGATTGATCCCTCCAGTTCGATAAAATCAGAAAGTCTCCTTCCTGACAAATCAATGATGGTGAGATTCAAACCTGGGTCTCATGGTCAGAATACAAACATTCTAACCACTTGGCCATGTGTCTATAATAGTATATCTTTGTAATAAATAATAATCTCCATATATGTTTATATTTATTCTAAAGTACCAATAGTAATTTCAACTGTACTTTCTATGTATCTGCTGCACTGCAAAGATTTCTTATAAAAGAATTAAAAATTACTTCTGTTGGAAAATATAGTACAATTAAGATATATAATTAATTCAATTTTAATCTAATAAATTTTATATTGAATGGTTTTAAAATTCAAAAATGCAAAACTTCTTTCTTCTAAAAAGTTATTCACTCTTTCCAAAACAGCACAAATATGATACCACTACAATCTCACTGAACTGTTGAAAGGTACTAGTAGAAATAGAGCTATTCTGGAGACTTCAGCAATCATAACAGAAATTACCAAAACTTGTTTAATCATGTGTGTATACTTCAAAACTGGACTAATAATGTTAATGAATTCACTGTTACTCAGTGGGCTGCCAAGCAGACATATGGATTTTCTTTACAACTTTTTCAAAATGATTTGAGACCTAAAAATTTGGAAAGTTCATTCTCTGGGGTCCCCTCAATCTCAAAAATGGTCTCATTTGTCTAACTCCAAATACTTTCCAAGATATAGCCATTTGAATTTTGTGAATTCTGGATTTTAACGTGAAAGGATTTTATGTTTGGAAAATTGTGGTCTAAGTAAAAGATTTGACCAGTAATTTGCTAAAATGTCTCCATTTTAAGGTATTTTGAAGTCTACAGACACACAAGATTGAAATATCTGCATGGATTAGGGTCATTTCTTCTAGGTTTTAGTGATTGTTGCAGAAATTAGCCTGAACAATACACATCTTTGGTTCAAATTTGTGTCTGGTGATTGCAAAAAAGCCCCAAGATGATTTTTTTTAAGGTTTACAATTTAAAATTGAGAGTTGGTAACCTTTCTGAAAATGTCTGGTTGAAAAAAATTACTCTCAGGAATATTACTAAAATCTATTCCATAGAAAAATTTTGCTTGTGAAATATACAAAAACATATATAATTTGTCTAATTTTTGGCCAAATGTAATGATCAAGACCTCTATATGTTTTTGAAGGTGCTGAATCCATTTTTAGCACTTATGAGTTGGTATCTGGTCATCTAGGACTTGAAACCTTCATTTCATGGTATTTTTTCCCAATTTTAGCCCTCAAAATTGGCTCCTGGGGTCCCCTCAATCTCAATTTCACAATAATAAGTGTACATTCAAGTATTTCTGTCCACAACAGGAAGTTGAGAAACTGGAATGATGAATTGAAGGGCCATTCCTGTTTCATGAGCAAACAGGAAGTCAAATATTTCCTCAGGAGATTGATGTTGTTCAGTATTTCTGTGGGGAATTTGTAAAGACAAGAAGTTCTTGGTGAGTTCTTGTGAAATGACAAAAACGCTGAAGAAAGTTGCCTTTGTTTTATGATGCTCTTAATACAGGCCGACCAGTCATGTAATGGTTTAAGAAAACTTGGTCATACATTTTTGTGTCCACTGCCCAAACACTAGATTTATGATGTCATGAAATTTTATTTCAACTCAGTCATGAAAAGAAAAATTATGCATGTGTCACAGACTGCATCTGTTCATTTTATCCTTTCTTGAAATAAGCAAAAACACTTGTTCTCATACCCAGATATGTTTATGGTTGATGGTAAGTTGAACAGTCTTGTTTGGGAGGTGCATTTTTCTGTCTATGTATATACAGTAAGGGACAATGTAACAATGCTGTCTACATCTCATCTGGTTTCAAAATTGATTGCTCTTTGGAATAGACACTTACCATTTGTGAAACAGAGATTCATCCAGAAAATCATAAAACTGGTGATTACGATGTTCGTAAAGGTGCCATCCATCCAGAATCCTATTATCACCAAAGATATTAACAACCTTCATCCTCTACATAATCTATTGAGATGTTTTGGTTGGATTTTTAAAATATGCTATCATTCAACTGCAGCACATTATTCTTGGTCTGAAGCAAAACTCGTATCAAACCTTGTTTCCAGAGCCTTAGAGTTTTTGAAACAGGTAAAAATGCAGATCCAGGCCAAAGTGAAAGAAGAAACATTGATCACTTTGGAGAAACCTGATCCAATAGGTCATGGAGGCATATGTACAACAGGTAAAATTGCAAAAGTCATGCTTAGCACCAGCAATAGGACTTTGTTGACAAATGGAATTGATAATACTGAATTGAAGTTCAAAATTGACCAATTTATTCTCAACATGGCAGTCATTCTCAACTTCATTAACTCCAGTAAGAAGGTAAAGGTTGCAGAGTACAAAATATTTTGTCATACCACAATCCCTTTTGGTCAAATCAGTTTCATGGATAGAGATTAATATTGTACTTACTCACTGTCCTGAACTTATTGAAGAGATTGACAACACTGGAATGCTGAATTTTATAGCATGTGTCATAGATGCAAACAAGTTTTTGAGGAAGTATTGCATCAACTATGCAAGGAAAACTAGCCAGTTTAATAACCTATCAGACTGTATAAATAGACTCTGGGACAAAAGTGACCCCATGATGTTGAAAGTATGTGAACATTTACAGTGCTCCCATTGCAAAGCAGAACAAGGTTGTGAAGAGTTGAAGGATGCACTTCACAGATATAACAATAAATACAAGGTATTGGTGTTCTTCTTGTCTTACTGATTTCACTAAGTGCCATATTTGTGATGTACTGAAAAAAATTTGTGTTCCCATATATCTATTCTATGATTCATATTTGGTTAAATATTTCAGTGTATAAATATGATATCAGCTGATATCTTACATGGTTTTATTAAGGATTTGGGCCAAATATCCCCAAATTAAGGTTTTGGCTCAGATATATTGTTGAATATTTCAATCAAATTTGATTACATTGCATTGACTCCCTCCTATGTTTCCAATGAGGTCCCAACCATAATCATACCATTATTATTTATTAAGATATGCCTACAAATGTTTTTTCAGGATTTCAGCCTGATATCCCTAACTTGGGGTTTTTGAGCCCCGACTCCCAAAATTTTTTATTTTTCTTAATCAAATTGATTTCTCCGTATTCCACTCTCCCTTATATGCTTCCAACGAGCACTTAATCACCATAAACAGATGAGGGGTTCCCAAGTTATAGGCAAATGTCTGCTTGACCACCACTATGAGCCCACTGTGTGTTATCTAGGATATTTGAACCCTTACATAATGCTATTTATACTTTTTATTGGAGATGTGGTAACTAAGAATTCTTACTCTTGTTAAATCAAGCAGTGGGATCTGGAGAGAGGAAAGAACTCAGAATAGGAGTAAACTGAATAGGGGACTAAATCACAATCATCATGTACTTTTCAATAAAGTTGTTGAGAGCCAACTCTCTTTTTCTTGTTATTTTTGCAGATACTATAAGAGATACCATTATGAATAGTCATAGAGACATATTTTGATAAATAAAATTCATTAAACTATAAAGTATGATGATAATGTGAAACCTCAGTTTTTTTCTCTCTATATTTCCATGTGATACATTTGTACAACATGGTCGTGTTTCGTTTTACAAAAAAACAGCTGGCAATGTTTTTTCATGCCCCTCTCCCAAAACACACTGTGTCAAAAGGATGGCTACTCTCTTAGAACGACCACTACTGTATACACTTTTAATTGCCTCAACAATGTTTGTTTTAAAAAGCGATGATAACAAAAATATTAAACACTATTTATTTATGAGATTGATTTTTTAATCTGTCAGCATAGGCATTCTAGGCATTTTGCTAAAAATTAGCAATGATTTAAACTTTTTTGAAATAAATATTGCCTTGCAGTTGGTTTACATATTGTGATAATTTTATAATTTTTTATAAATTTATGAATAAAAAGATTTTTCAAATTTATTTCTTTATAAAATGACAAATAATAAATACCACATTGTACTTGGTTCACATATTTTTATAATCTTGTAAATAAACATTACTGAGGGAGTCAAAAGTGTATACAGTAATAGCAGAGTCAAGGGAATAACCATCCTTTTGACACACTGCTTTTTTTGCAGGCATGAAAGTTAAACCTTGCTAAACAGCTTTACAAATCAAGTTAAAAGAAATAACAGCACTATGATTTTTATTGTTAAAACAATAATAATAAAAAAAATTTAAACTCTACAGAAAAAAATCAACCCCCTATCAACTGAAGTAATTACTGTTTCTGTAATAATAATAATCTGTCATACCATGTTGGAACTCCAATTCTTTAACTCAAATGGAAATGCTCACTTTGACAAAAATATACCTTAATATAATCCAGCTCTCTGCACGTGCTTCTGGGATACCATCTAAAAATACCAGGGTCATAAAACATCTTTTTTGACAAATCAGAAAAATTTTTCATAGCAGCCATTTCTAAGCCACTGACTATAAAGTCAATGCTGTTTTCATGCAGATCCGACCTGGCTGGTATTAATGATGGACTCCACAATAGGCAAACTTAATCAGACCATCAGCAGCAAAAAGGTGCTTCCATCAACAGTGATGCTTTTGGCCACTGTTGAAACCAGTGGCTACGGCAGAGACTTTGACTACAATAATGTAATAATGCATGTTAATTTTCTCCACATGTCTATCTCAACTATTACCTCAAATCAACACTCAGTCTCCCAAAACAGATATACAATACCCCAAAATGAGCAAACAATCAAACTTTGTAAGTCATGGAGAATAAAAACTCTTTTCTTATCTCCACTTGTTGTTTTGTCACTTATACTTTTTCTTGTTAACAGTAAGGCTGCTATTGCAAGTCTGTTGGAATCTAATTCATTATTCAAATTCAAAACAGTGCCACAAAATAAGCACAACTCTTGCTCAGTGCTGCAAAGAAGAAACTGAATCTAGCATGTTGCTGTAATGATCTATATTACCATAAATAAAACTATAGAGTAGATATACATGTGAAAGATACAATTTCTTTGGTTCTGTATTATATACTTTACCACTTGCTGACACACTTTGTAAAACAATATATATGTATTGATAAACAAGAAAAGTTACAAAGAACATTATAGTTGGGTCTATCTCAATGAACATCTTTTAAACAGTGCTTATCAAGTATAGGATATCAGAAACATGCAAGCAGTCAGTAAAATCATAAGTGAATGAATCTATGAATTATCAAATTTGCCGAAATAAAAAGAAAACTGATTTGTAGTAATTTAGTAACTATAAAGAATAAAAATAAACTTACCTGTTTAAATTAACATCTTTCTTTTGAATATGTGCCTGGATCAACTGGTTAATAATGTCAGTAATTGCTAAAACCATTAATTCTTCATGTGACCCTGAATTTAAAATTTAAATAAGAATATTTAACACAAAGATATTTTAACCAAAATGTATATTAACCTATTTGGCTGAGAACATTTCATACCTATGAACCTGATATAGAAAAATTGCTTCTGTAAAACAGTTTAAATACTGATGTTTAGGTTTCATGATTATCTTGCAAGAATAAAAAGAACAGTTTAAGGACTATTAAATTAGCTTTATTAGACAGAGTGATTATAAAAAAAAAGGTTTAAACTCAAAAGTTAGCAAAACAGTGTTTGCTGAAATCCTTAACTTTCACATATGTAAACAGAATCCATAATTAATATTGAATTTTCATGAAAGGGGCAGTATAAGAGATTCAATCTGAAGAGTATTGCCCCTCTTCAAATGATGAAAATAACATTTCATATGCATAGATAATTCTTTTCTTTCAAGGAGGACATTTAAAAATTACACATCTTTTTGAATGGAAAATAATATATGTAGTAATTTGATATTATTAGGGGAAAAAAGAGCAAGGACAAAGTATTATTTATTGTTTATCTGAACATTCCTCATAAAAATTAGTTTTCTCATTCACTAAGAAACATTTTATTAAAATAATTTAATTGACTTTTGTAATAATCTACAAATCATAATAAAAAAGACTAGTGAGGAAAATTAAACTGACACTGGCAGATTGCATATAATGTATTTACATTGACAACAGTCAATATAAAATATTTCTGACACACATGGTTTGGTGCTCTTACTATATATTTAGAGATCTTCAATAAAATCCAAAGAAGAATCTGCAATTTTATTGATCCTGACCTGGCATCTTAGCTTCAATCACTTTCCCATCACTGTAATGTAGCTTCCCTGTGCCTTTTCTATAAATACTTTTATGGTAATTTTTCTGTTCTTTTATGTTCTTGCTTCTTAAAGTTTTCTTTTTCTTATATTCTTTCACACTCAGTAATTCTCTGCATATTAGTGGCTTTGTTTGGGGTGAAATGGTAAAAAAAAGCCAAAAGAAAAAAAAAGAAAGAAATTTAAGACATTTTGACCCATCAATGCTTACATGTGTTTCAGTATCAAGAATAAAAACCTTTTCAAAATAACAATATTTTTTGTGATGATAAAAACTTACATTTTATTGCTAAGGAAACTTAGCCTTTTAGTAGGCTTATCATATTTTCTGGTTTTGCTAGGACTGTCATTGTTTGAGGGCTATGTCCCAGTAATCTACAAGAGATATAAACTATCAGTATTTTTGTATGTTAGTCTTAAAGCTTAAATGATATTGGGTCATGAAAACACTTTATTCTACAAGAAACCTGTAATAAAAATTGAAGAGGCTTGGAAATTATGATAAGCCTACTTTTTATGCTTTTAGAGATTAAAGAATATGTGAGTAGTAAATATATTCATATAGTTGTTCATTTTACATTCAGTGAGGATTGTATTATTTTATCCATTGCTTGCAAAAACAATATGGATGAAGCTTGCTGATTCTTCTTTTGTGTGTGAAGTCCTTTGAGGATATGAATAATCATGGCTCTTTAGAACTTCCTGTCTTTTGTTGATTTAAGTAATTTTTAACTTTTTACTATCCCTATCTGTTCTTCCATTCAGTCACAAAAACTCATTAAATATGTTACTTGCTGTTTCCTCATTTACTTCTTATATGAAAGTTTTGGAATAAATCGAGCTTATGATAAAACAAATAACAAAGGTTTTGTTCAGTAAATGTGAATAGCTTAGTTAATATTGGTGGTATATCAAGTCTGCTGTTCACTTTTAATCAATACTAGTTTGCATACAGAGTAAATAGATTGACAGAAGATGTCATTACCACTACTCTTCATACCGCATTGGCCTACCTAGAGAAAAAAGGGTAGTTATATGACAATGCTTTTTGTTGACTTCAGCTCTAGCTATGACACCATCATCCCGATCAGAATGGTCACAAAGCTCTCATAACTAGGACTGTTGTTGGGTTAAGGACTTTCTAACAAATCGTTGACAAACTGTCAGAATAAGCTCATACATTTTCTCCACACTTATGCTCAGCACCAATGCACTACAGGGATGTGTATTAAGCCCTGTTCTGTATACCATCTACACTTGTGATTGCATCCCTATCCATCCCACCAACCTGATCATTAAGTTTGCAGACAACATTAGTGTGGTTGAACTCATTTTGGGTGTGATGAGGTGGATTATAGGAGTGAAATAAAAAGATTGGCTGCATGCAGCTTGGAGAATAAGCTTGCTTTAAACACCTTAAAAACAAAGGAGCTGGTGGTGGACTTTCAGAGAAATACTACAGCACCTGTCCCTTTGGTTATTGCTAAGGTTTATGTGGAGAGAGTGGATAAAATTAAGTTTCTGGGTATGTGCATTGCAAATGATCTCTCCAGGACTAGCAATACAATTGCATTAATCAAGAAAGTGCACCAGTGAGTATTATTTACTGATAATTCTCAGAAAAAATAAGGAAGCTGCTGATGACATTTTAGCAATGCTCTATTGAGAGTATGCCTTGCATACTACATCACCGTTTGATATGCCAACTGCTCATCAGCGGACAAGAGAGCCCTCCAAAGGATTGTAGATACTGCCCCAAAATAATTGGCTGCTTGCTGCCCTCCTTGGAGGATATTCCTAATTTTTGTCTCATTAGAGCATAAAACAGCATGCATCCCTGGTACCACTTGTTTGAACTGTTGCCCTCAGAGCAATGTTTTAAGTTCCATTAGTTCTGGGACGAAGCGCTTGAAGTACAGCTATTATCCTTGAGCCCTGCATAAAATTAACAACGCTACTGCACGCTGACAATTTTTAACATACTTTAAAAAGCGTATTAGTTTTCTTTTTCTTCATCGATGCTGTACCTGTTATTTTTTTTTTTGTTTGTTTGTAAATGTGGGTGTTGGTGCATTTGGGGGCTGCTATCTAATTTCACTAAGCATTGCACAATGACAAAGAAATAAAATAAAATGACAGGATAATTAAGTCCAACACCTTCTGCTAATTTTTCGGCCTTGTGCCACATTTGTGTTTCTCTCTCAAAAATAAATACTGCTTTTCTTGTATTTGCTTGCTTGACGTATTTACGCCGGATTGACATTCAATAAAATCTCAATTTCACTAAGTGAGTTTGCCCAAATTTTTACTTTTTAGTGGTCATCACAGATAAAAACAAAAAACTCTCAATCGTATTTACAAAAATATATGAATGATTAAGGAATTCAGATTCTGTGTTCAGTCTCATATACTTGCCATTATCTTTATTCTGAAGGCTTTCTTTCACTTGAGATTTTTTATTTGATTTTCCTACTCTGACCCTGTCTGTACAAACTACAAAGTAAATAAACTTGAGTTTAACTATAAAAAATAATCAGTCAACTCAGTTGTCGCGAAATAATATCTTTTAGTTTAATTTAAAATATTATTTGAAAAACAAAAATAGAAAATCAGTAAAATATTAATTTAAATATTGCTGAATTTTTTTGTTTCCGTGGATCCAACAAGTCATCTTAAAAAAAGAAAATTTGGACAATATGTATACTAGCTTCTTACTAAACTTCGACAATTAATTATATTTCTTTTATCTCAAGCTGCCATATTAGTGAGACAAATGATAGAATTAAAGGTTAGAAGAATACTAAAAACAAAAAATAATTAAGTAGTTGAGAGTCAAGGGGCCACGTGAATGCAATTTATATGGTTGTTTAGTTTTTGTTGTCTGTATCATTTTAGCAAGGTTTATAACACGAAGGCTTTATTTATATAATCACTCCAGTATATAAAGATATATATTTTGTTTTACCTTTTACAGTTCTTTTTTGTCCCATTTTTGTTGTTATAATCTCTAAGTATTTCGTACTTGGAAGTACTGCGTTGTTTCACGTTCAACAATATATCTGAAATGTATCTAATTTAGCCATAGTTTCGTAAGAATAAAAATTACTAAACTGGGAATTAGATTTTAATTGGCGTACTTTTCTAATTAAGTTTGGAGAATTATTTTAATTTAGAATTAATTTGCTAGGTTTATTTTGTAAAGGAAAAGTTACCGATTGATCTATAAAACTACGAGTGGCTGATTTGAAACAAAGTTGTTAAGTCACGGAGTCAATGAAGTTTAATCGAATTTCACATAACTTTTTTATTGTAATTGTACATTTGATGCAAAATGTAATAATTTAAGAATCTGTAAAATTTATTGATTTCTCAAATTATATATTCTATTCTGTTGGTTTCTAAAAAAAAAGTACTATAATTAAAAAGTTTTTAAATAGCATTTTCAATTTTTTCCAGATTTTTCTCTGGTTGTACATTGGGGAGGGAAGCAGAGGACTAAATTTATGTTAGTTTCATTCTATGACAATACTATTGAGCTGAGCTCTATCATTTGTCTAAATTACAATTAATTATAATTTTCAAAAAATAAATTATGAAACTTCATTTTCTTTTTTTTTCAAAACATTAACTTCTAGGACTTATATGCTATTAGAATTGGGCACCTCGAGGCGGTGTAATGGTTAGCAAGCTTGGCTTGCTAGAACAATTACAACTGAGTAGTGAGTTCAATCCTCACTGGGTGCCCCATACTTTCGGTCTTGTGACACATTTAAGCTACGCTTGGAAAATCACTATATGCTATTAGAATTTGAGAACCACTATTACAATGTTTACAAGTTCATGTTCTCTAGCCTCTTTTCTAATCTTTGCTCTGACTTTCACCCCTGTTTCCAAAACTGGCTCCCAAAGCCTTGATCCTTATCAGAGATAAGAATATATTTTTTGACGAATGAGAGAACTGGAAAATATAAAAAGGAATTTGACTACTCCTTCCTTGACCATGGTGCCATAAAGTTAGTGATAATGCTCACAACTTGTCGGACACTTGCTTCCAAAACCAGCTCCCAAACCCATGATTCACATTTTTTGTGTATGTAAATAAATATTTTCTTTTTCTGTTGTTACACCCTGAGCAGGAGTTTGAGTCTTTATTCTTCCACCTAAAAGAGAGAATTGTCCACTCTAAACTTTCAAGCCATTGTTGCTTTTATTGATTCTATCACCTTAAACTTTTCATGTGGGAAAGCCAAGACAAATTTCCCATAATGCAGGCGCAATTCCAGAAAATAAGTATAAACAAAAAACAAAAGAACTGTGTATTTAAAATCTAAAATATTCAAAAATAGATCTAATAAAAATCTCCTATACAAAACTTAAAAATATTAATTAACACACCACAACCATATAATTTTTATTTTGTTATATCATACCTGTGAACTTCTTTCATTTGAATGTGCTAAACCATGATTCCTATCATGAATTAATATCCACAGAAACAATACATGTTTTGCCATCTAAAGTAACAGGCTGATGCAGCTATAAACAGATAACTGACTACAAGGAACAAAGAGATAATTAAGTACAAGAAATAAAACTGAGTGCAAGAAGCAAACAGATAACTGAGTGTATGAAACAAACATAACTGACTGCAAGAAAGAAACAGAAAATTGAGTGCAAGAAAGAACCAGATAATTGACTGCAAGTAAAAACAGATAATTGAGTGCCAAGAAGAAACAAGTAATTGAGACAAGAAACAAACATAACTGCAATAAATAAGCAGATAACTGAATACATGAAACAAAAAATAACTGAGTGCAAGAAACAAAGATAACTAACTACAAGAAATATACAGCTGAGTGCAAGAAACTGATTTCAAGAAATGAATAGATAACTGATTGCAAAAAACAAACAGAAAACTAAATGCAAAAAACAAACAGAAAACTGATTGTAAGTAACAAACATAACTGATTGCAAGAAACAAACAGAAAACTGAGTGCAAGAAATAAACTGACTGCAATATCTATGATATACTAACACCTTAACATGATGGAAGTAATGAATTCCAAAATTGAGTTATGCATGAAAACATTTGATAGACAACACGGAGGTATCCAAATGACATACAAACATACAAACATTATATATATATATATATATATATATATATATATATATATATATATATATATATATATAAACATAGTTTGAAAGAAAAAAGAAAAGAAGATTGATAAGGTGACAACACTCTCATGTGTTTAATGTCTACTTTAGTGAAATAGAAAACCTTGTCAAATCTGAATCTTTTCATTTGTACTCCTTTACTTTTTTTTAAAAAATGATGACCTGCATACATGTTTTATGATTGTTATTGTAATATTTTGCTAAAGTAATGTTACACTAATTTTATCAAGATCTATTTCTGATTCACAAATACATTTCACTAGACATGTTGGCCAGATACGAGTGCTAAAAAAGCAAAACCCAAAATAAAAAAGTTGTCTTTGATTCTGTTGTAACCTAGGGAAGGTTACTGAATAGAATAATCAAACAACAAAGGTTGGTAATGAATGATAATACTTAGGACAAGAATAACACATATAAGACTCACCAGCAGTGCATAGAAGAAGTAGTCAACTGCTAGAAGTGAGTCAAGTGAATTCCATAATGAATCTCTAACTGTAGACCAACATACAGTATCTACTACTGTATTTATGTAAATGAGGACATACCCATTATTGTCTGTAGGTATGCTACAACAGACTCCGAGAATGACATCTAGTCCAAAAGAAAAATTCCCACAAAAATCTAAACTATAATAGCCAATTATGAACGTTGTTGAAAAAAAAAAAAAAACAGATTAACTTGGTATCCTGCACATGTTAAATCACGGATATAAAAATGCATGCCTTGCCAACAATAGGCAGTTTGCTTCAACACACCAACCTTGTAACTGGACTGCTGACCCATCCACACACCTCACCAGTGTCAATTTCAAATCTATGGATCAACCCTGCCAATGAAACCCACTCATGTAACCACATGGTTTCACTTATCCTCTCCAGGCCTCTCTCCTGACACCAACTGTGACTTCAGTCATTACTATCTTTAGAGTTTTATTATACACAGATTAGTTTTTCATAATTTAACATCTTTCGTTTTCTTTATTCATATACAGACATTTTCTTAGTTCATCAATAAGTCCATAACTTAATGATTAGTTGAATTTAGACCTGAAATTTTCACTGGATATTGTCCAATCTTTGTGACTAATATTTACCACTGAATTAAGGAAGATTATGTTGAAAAAGAAATATATGTTGTGTAAAGGAAATGTTTTTTTTTATCATTAAGTTATGGACTTATTGATGTACTTACATATTTTATAAGTAATATTATATAGAATGAATTATAACTCTATAACTGAGTTACATCTCTTTTTATAGCAGGCACACATTAATTTCACAGATTCACATGTGATAATGAGAGTTAAGCAATATTGTACTGGATTATTTTCAGTACGGTGACTGATAATTTTACATGAATGTGTAATGAACAATTTTTGCCCATTGTTAAACTACTAAAATGTCCTGTGTGTGTGTGTGTGTGTAAGCACATGTACTATGAAATTTTCTTTGAAAAGTATATAATTTGTTTTGTTAGATTTCTGTTTGGATGCACACCAGAGATTTTGTTTATGTTAAATATGTAATTCAGCTTAATAAATACCCATAAATGCTTCACTTTTTTAAAAACAAAAATTGTGTACAATATCAAATAATAAATATCAAGAAATTTAGATTACCAAGTTCAGGTATTGTGAAATGTAAAATCTAAGCAGTTCAATGAAGAAACTTTGGGTTCACAAAATGACATCTGTAGAAGAGAGTCACTACTTTGTAACAGATGAGGTTACTGTTTTTAAAAATAAATGAATTCAACATGAAGAGCATTTTTCTATATACTTATATAAAGAGTATCATAGCACATAAAAGAAGAGAAAATTATATTCACAAGTATACAGATAGCTCAAAAAAGGAAAAAATATTTATGTGCTAAGCTATAGTGTGTGTATGCATGTGTGTGATGTTGCCACATGGTAGTGTGAAATTAAGAAATTGACTTGTTATCTAACTAAGAAGGGGAAGACTGGATATATCTTCTACTTATCACATCTTGGATCAAAAAGAGAGATTGAAAGACACACTTCTTTTATAGTCCTGAATACAATGACACCTAAACAAGGTTGGTAAATCTTTGGGCCTTTCCAAAGTTGTTCAGTTGTGGACCATAAAAATTGTGGTGATAGAAAAATAAATAAATAAAAAATGACAAAAAGACCAAAATTTCAACATCTCTAAAAATAAATGGGTAATAAAAAATGCTAGGCAAACAAAGCCATAGTTTGACCAACCAATCAGAACACTTTCACAACTAGGATGCAAGAAAAGAAATAAAGAACTAATAAAAAAGAGATCAAAATATCCTCATTTCTAAAAATAGATAGTTCAACCAACCAATCAGAAAGATTTCACAACCAGGATTGTCAATGGGTAGTGAAGTACCTTTTCAAAGTGAATCTATAGATATATAATTTATATATATAAACAGACATGAAAATCAACCAAAATCAGTCAATAAGTTAATTTTGTCCATTTTCTGATGCTACAGTCATTGTAACATACTCAGAAATGAAATACAATAACTGCATGAATAGCTAGTAACCTTACACTGCTAAAGCATCCTTGCAACATTGAAACAAACATATTTTTCTTCCCCACATTGTCAAGCAGTAACTACTACAGTTGTATATATATATATATATATATATATATATATATATATATATATATATATTGTCTGTATCTAGGCAGCATTTTTTCATTGGTGCATGTTTCATTAAATAATATAGACAAGTGTTGTCTATTTATTTTATGTAAATTCTTTTCATATCGTCTGATAAGCTTAATAACATTATCATTAAACGAAGAAA